CCCGCGAAATCCTCGCAGCGCCGATACCGGACGCGCGCTCCGGGAGTACTTCCTCATCCTCCCGAGCCGCTCCTTCCTTATTCAAGTCCGTCGCGATGCACTCTTCGCATCCCTGCAAACGCACTTGTCGGACTTCTTCACTTCCGCATTGACTGCACGAGTCCGGCCGCAAAATGCCGGTCCCACAGGAACTGCAGCTGTCATCTTCAAAGTGGCAGCTGTCCTGAAACTTCGAATCCCACATGTGGCAGCGCGTGCACTCACTGGCCGCGATGCGCCCTCTGCGCACTTCCGCAACCGTCTCACCGGCCTCAATCACGACCGGTTCATACTTCGCGGCTATCAAGACCATACCTTCTTGGCTTCCGGTAGGCCAAATGCCTGGCACTGCTTCGACCGAGTCACCAATGGGCAAGATCGCCTCGCATGATCTTCCCTGGTCATCCACATCGAGCCCTTCTCGGACCCGATCGACCGGGATGAGCACTCCATCACCAGGGAAGAGCTCAACTGGCTCACCGCAGGCCGCAACCAAGAGGTCCCTTGGCGCACCATCCCTCGGAAGAGCCGAATGATCATCAAGGGAAGAGGCCACCGAGAACGGGTAAGCTCTGTCGTGCCTCCCCTTGCTGTGATCTTCGCAGCGAGGCATCTTCACTCCCACGGTATCAAGGAAGTGAAACCCCGGTCCCGGCCTGAAGCCCAAGCCGCCTCTCGCTTCGCAATCGAGGGCTCGGCCTCCGAGTATGATTCCGTGCCAATCTGAGCAGCCTTTGCTGCGATTTTACACCGGATGAACAGCTCTGGTCCGTCCTTCGACGCCTCCGGTGTCGGTCCTTCCTGCAGCCTAGCTCGGAGGACCACGCTCCCCTTCAAAGGCACTGGCTTGCCCGATGCAATGCCATGCACAAACTCAGGGAAGACCCACTTCTCGAACCTGAGGATCGGGTAGTCCTTGCTGTCGGGCTGGACTCCTTTCTTCCTCGCGTGCTCAACCATGCTGACCACCAGCTCCTCCGTGATGTGATTGGCACCGGCACCTCCATCCAACATACATTCCACCTGCTTCCCCAGGATCTTCACCACGGTCCGGTACTGGTACCCTCCGGACTCGTTCTGGACGACCTCCCACCAATCCTTCGGCAGATCGTCAAGCTCCGCGATCCCTGGACCTCCGCCACCGTTGCTCGGCGACGTCTTCAACACTCCGCCAGAGATCACTTCTGAGTTACTGTACTCTCCGATCGTCACGCTAAGTGCAGCGAACGGGTTGATCAGGGAGCTCGCATCCGGCTTCGGCCCCATTGCCAAAGACTGCTGAGTCGCGACTCCTTGCGTCCTTCCGGTCTCTTCGCTGATCACGAGCGCGTGCAGCATATCGCACCCGGACCCCTTCTTGCAGGCGCCGTTCTTCCGGAAGAAAGGGCAGAGGACTTCCTTCTTACTCTTTCCATCATACTTGCCCTTGGAACCGCTCTTCCCTTTAGAATCTCCTTTTCCTTTTCCGGTTCCCTTACCTTTCCCTTTCTGGTCCCCCTTGCCCTTTCCTTCGCCCTTAGCCGCGAGAACTGATCCGCTCTCCGCGTGCTGCTTCTTCTCCGCCAGCGCCTTTTTCCGAAGCTCCTTGTCGTGGGAGTAGTGGCACTTGTCTCCCCACGGACAGGTTCCATGATCCCTGTAGTGGAAACACAGCTTCTTGCCGTTCGTGCCTTCTGTGGCCGCCAAAACCTGCTGCTTCGGCGCCTTTGGCTCCTTCGGTTTCTTTGGCTCCTTCTTCGGAGGTTGCTGTTGCCTCTCCGTCTCCGTGGAGTAGACGGCATTCGCAGTCGCCCGATGAGTGGCTTCTCGCTGCTCGACCTCCAGAACCACTCGATGAGCCTCCTCCCATGTCTGAGGTCCTCTCAGCTGGGTCTCACCAGCCCACAACCTCTTGTCACTCCGGATCTCTTTCTGCAGGTGCGCAGGCATCTTGCGAAGATACGACAGGTACAGCTCCCTCTTACTCTTACCCAGGCCAACTGTCTCCAGCTCCGTGACGCTCGCCTCAAAAAGCGGTTCGAACTGGTGCCCTGTCATCTTCCCTTTCGCCAAAGCTACGTGCTCTGCGTCAACTCGTATCTCCCTTTCCTCCGGGCTCTCCGTGAACAAGAGATGCTTCGCCTTGATCCGCTTGTACACCTTTTCCGGGTCCTTCTCTATCTCGCCGGCTCGGTAGGCCGACTTATAGAGGTTCGTGAACGTCTTGAGGCGGGACCCCCTGCACCGAGATCTCAGCGCAAGCAGCATCTCCCGATAGTTCATGCCCTTGCAGGAGTTCGCGAGACCACAGTTGTCCTCGAAATGGTCGTAGAACTCGGACACGTCCTTAGAGTCGCTCCTTTCGTCCCCAAGCGTGGGCCATTGCAAGTCTGTTTTTACCGACATAACTTGCGATTGATTACGGCCCTCCAGCGCCTTCATCAAGGCCGCTGTTTGATGCTCCAGCGCGTTCGCGAGCTCTTTCTCAGGAGAGGACGCCTCTGAGGCCGCCCTGTCCTTGTCCTTGTCCTTCTTCAGAGACTCCAGCTCCATCTGCATTGCCACCATCTTGGATCTCAAGGCTACTACGCCTTCGTCTCCATCGGTGGGTTCACGGCTCCGCTTCGAACCTCTATTCCGGTCATCATGGAGCTCGTCGGATGGAGTAGAGAACACTTTGTCAGGAGCCGTACTCACTCGGCCTCCCAAGTCCTGGATCAACTCCGCGATCGCGACCGTCGTGAGTCCTTTCTCTTCTGGCTCCTTCGTGTCATCGTTGGCCAGCATGATGAACTGTTCCTTCAAGTGACCAACCATGGTCCTAGGGTCAAAGTCACCCAGAGCTTCGTATCCTTCTTGTATCAACTCTGCCTTCATGATGACTGACCGCAGGTCAGCCGGTCCCACTTCTTGTCCCAGCACTTCTAACGCATGGGAGATCCGTTCGGCCCGCGCCCGATAGGCCGCGAGGCTCTCATACCTCGGATCATGAAGTGCGAACAGCTTCCTTTGCATCTCCGACATGGAGACACCGGTGTATCCCGAAGAGGGAGCCGGGCTAGCTCTGCCCTTCTCCTCCCCTCTTCCACCTTCATCTCTGATAGCCGGCCGGGCTTGCTCACCCGGGGCCTCGCCCGCAAACCCCACTGGTCGCGGCGACGGCCGAGTCCCAACGTCAGGCTCTGCTGGCCCCATAAGAGCTGGGATCGGCCTCAGCCTTGGTCTGGCTTCCGGCTCTTCTTCTTCATCTTGTTCTTCTTCTTCTTCAAGGTCCTCAATTCGGTCTTCCCCATATAGCTCCGCCGTCACGGCTCTCCAAAGAGCTACTTCTTCGACCGTAGACATTCCGCGGCCATCCTGCCGGCGGGTCGGCCGACGACCTTCACGCTTCCTCCAGCGCTGCCAAGCCGGGAAGCTCATTTCCTCAGGCCTTGGTACCCTTCCATCTCTGATGCAGTCAAGCAGAGTGACACCAAGTTCTTCGCCTGAAACTTCCTGGCTCATCCTTCAGTAGAGGCTGCCCACACAAGCCTTTTACCGCGGTGTGCTTACAAGGGTCAGGGAGTTCAGATTTCCCAGAACAGCCCCCAACTGTGAGAGGCGTTAATCCTAACCAAGGACTAACCCAGAATCCACGTCTCACCCGTGTCCCGACTCTCTGGCACACCCGCGAAGCGGCTCGTTGTTTTCACAGGCAGCGCACTCATTCACCGTGCGCATGTGGCTTGAGCCAAAATAGGCACGCCACTCCAACTTCCTCAAGGTGGACATGTCAACTCGCAAGACATGTCCACTCATGCAACCTCAAGCAAAAATAGCTCACTTACCAAAGCCTAATGCCTATGGCTGCAATGACAAAATCATGCATGAGAATGCCAAGATCTGCAATACATTACAGATACATTACCATACATACATACATACATACATACATACATACATACATACATACATACATACATACATACATACATACATACATACATACATACATACATACATACATACATACATACATACATACATACATACATACATACATACATACATACATACATACATACATACATACATACATACATACATACATACATACATACATACATACATACATACATACATACATACATACATACATACATACATACATACATACATACATACATACATACATACATACATACATACATACATACATACATACATACATACATACATACATACATACATACATACATACATACATACATACATACATACATACATACATACATACATACATACATACATACATACATACATACATACATACATACATACATACATACATACATACATACATACATACATACATACATACATACATACATACATACATACATACATACATACATACATACATACATACATACATACATACATACATACATACATACATACATACATACATACATACATTACATTACATTACATTACATACATACATACATACATACATACATACATACATACATACATACATACATACATACATACATACATACATACATACATACATACATACATACATACATACATACATACATACATACATACATACATACATACATACATACATACATACATTACATACATACATACATACATACATACATACATACATACATACATACATATGTACATGCATGCATACATACGAGAGAGGGAGAGTGGGGAGGAGAGGCTTGGGGGGATGGGGAGGATGGGAGCAGAGGGAGGGAGAGAGGACGACAGAACACACAAGGGAGACAAGGAAGAGAGGAAGAAGGAGAAAAGGGAGAGGACAATGTCGGCGGACTGAGCCGGAGGCTCTAAAGTTGAGATTGTGAGGCGGTGTGTGCCTCTCGGGTGGTACTCAAGCCCAATGCCAAATCAGCCAGAAAGGAAGAGATTCGCCTATACTTAGATCAAGGAGTACGAGTTCTTCCAAGAACCCCTCGCGCCTGAGGGTAGATGCGCCGCATGGCGTCACGCCAAGCTCGGCCACACCCCCAACCCGAAAGCGGCCATGGCAAGCAATTGGCCCCCAAGCCCTGGCTGATCTTTTGTAGTTCTGTGCTTTGAACGTTTTTTTTAGTGTAGCGGTGGTTCCCATCAGCCCTTGAACTTGCTGGTTGTACTGGCGCGCCGCATGTCAGTACGCTACGTTTACATGTATACTGCCGCCAAAATCAAATGCCGATTCTGCGTACTGCTATGCATGGTGACTGTTGCCTGTGTCGCGCTGTTGAAGTGTCAGTGTGCCACAGTCCTTTAACTTGCAAAGCTGCCATGCACGGCAGGCAGCGGCCTGTGTCTTGATATTATGGAGCCCGTTATGGAGCCTGTACCCCCCCCCTCCTTTACCCCCCCCCTTCAAGCTTAAAGGGCTTCTCTTGCAGGGGAGGCTTAGGAAGCCTTGCGGAAGCCTTGCGGAAGGTTTGGGGAAGCCTTGGGGAAGCTTGGCCTGACATTCGCCCTGCGCATGGCGGGAACACTGACAAGAAATACCGAACCTGCTAATTAGGTTAAAGAAGCCTTGGGAAGCCTCACGGAAGCCTTAGGGAAGCCTTAAGGAAGCCTTAGGGAAGCCTTAGGGAAGCCTTAGGGAAGCCTTAGGGAAGCCTTAGGGAAGCCTTAGGGACCTTAGGCCTTAGGGAGGCCTTAGGGAAGCTGGAAACCTTAGAGAAGCCCTAGGGAAGCCCTAGGGAAGCCCTAGACAAAGCCGTACGGTCTGCTTGGGGAAGCATGTTTGCGGAAAGCTTAGGGGGACGCAGCACTTTCAGAAAAAACAACTCGAATCTCTTATGATTTCCCTAGGTTGGGGGGACGCAGCAAAGTAACGCAGCTCGAATGTCCGATCAAAATCAAGGGGTCTCTTAGGTTCAGCTTAGGAAGTCTTAGGGAAAATGTTGCTATATCCACTTCCTAGCCACCCTAGGGATAGGACCTAACTACCTTAAGGGGGGGGGGGGGTAGGGGGGGGGATTCATAATGATAGCTGTGGCCTTGCGCCTGCGTTTTTGGAAGCCCCGACAAAATGCTCCCAAGTCAGGGCGCGCGACCTTCCCCGAAACGTCCCTGAAACTCATTGGTGACCATCATGATCCATCATGCCCGAAGTCACAGGAATAAGAGAATACGGAACCCTCGCCGTCCACAGCACTGGCCAAGCTTCATCACCACCCCTCGGCCCTCCCTCCCCTCCTGCGCGTTTTACGTCACACTCTGGTTCGCGCGAGCTCGTGCCAGGCTCTCGCGAGGCGTCAGCAGGACGCCTTGCTCACCTCATGCCGACGTGACTGTAAAACCTCGGGGTCCCGAATTTGGACATGTGTTAACCTAGGGGCACCCCAGAAATGGTGGGGGTCCTTCTGTCAAAAAGGGTTCGCAACAAAAGCACACGCTCGTTTACTTATCCTTTGAACCTCGCCCACTGTTGCAAATTGGCCTGTACGACCACCAAAGGCAGAAATGCAGGGAACCCAAAAGATCATGGGAGAAAGGCATGGTGTTCGCAAAGGGGGGCACTGATGTGCTCTGTCTGTGGTTGGCCGGCTGCAGGGGGATTTGGCCCTGATATGAACGTGAAGGAGGCTTCCAAACAACCTGAAGGACTGCAGGCCTTGATACCTACCATTTGGATTAGCAACGCATCACATCTTGGTGATCGCGCCAAGCGTTCCAGCCGCCAGTCAGCGGTGAAAAGACCAAGCACACACAGAAATATTGATCGCTAGCAAGGAACGTGTAGGGATGTCAAAGTATGGATCAGGTTGGTGAATTTTGTACTGTCAAAAAGGACCCGTAAAAGGCGGGTGCGAAAGCTGACAAACCTCAGGCTGGCCTAAGCGCGTCGTGCGAGGTGACGGCGCGCGCCGTAGTGGTGCAAGTACCCTGCGGCAAGGCGCGCAACCACCAGCGCAAGGCGATTCTATCTGTGCCACGCCAATGGCCCCACTGGAGTTCCACCTTCTTCGTCGCTTTGGGCAGTTGACTGGACAGCCAAAGTCAAGCCCACCCAACCACCTTTCCTGCGCGCCAACTCAACCAACCGGCCCGACCCGGCCGCTCCCCCGCCTCTTTGGCGGTCCCCCTGGCAGCCGTGGGCCTTCGTCCAGCGGCCTTGGGAGTTAAGGTGGCTCTGGGCAACCGGGTGATCTGCACAGGTTACAATACACTCTCGCAGGACTTTCAAAGAAACTGGTTTTAGCAGTCTTGTTTTCGAGGTCCCCCCTTATGGGTCCCGCGGGTCCTGCGGTCATTCGCAGGGTAATGGGTAGTCATTCGCACATCGGAAATAAGAAACCCTGATGAAAAGAACATTCATCTTGGGCGAGCTCCTTGTACGCCTAGGTGAGCTCGTCGTAACCTATACAAAGATGATGGTGGCAAAAAAGGAGAGAAAAAAAGAAGAAGAAAAACAGAGCAACACACGGGCAACTTACATATCTAAAGCAGCTGCCAGCTGGTCCATTCTGTCAAGACCAATCCTCTCTAAAATACAAGCCCGAAATGCAACTTTGGCACTGTGCAAGCCAAAAGCCGTCAGGACATGACACTTGGAAGACATCCCTCACCCCTCAAAGCTTACTCGCTGCAATGCTAGCACAATCCATACAAAGCTGCGAATTGACGACTTGGTCTCATCGTTTCAAAAAGGGCAAGTAGCCTGCCAGCCTTGCCGCAACACCTTGACTCTGACCTTAATCCCCCCACGTTTGAGACAATGAATTGTCTCGAAATAGGGGGAGCTTCCAAAACAAGCGGGGGCTCCTTGAAGACCACTTTCCTCCTAAAGGGGACCTGATTCCATGTCACTTGGTGGGACGTGCTCACAAAATTAAAAAGGGAACCGCAGGGGCCTGTCTCAAAACGGAAAACTGGTTGCTTTTGGCTCTTAACAGGGAGCCACACCAAAAGCGCCATCTGGGGCCCTGGCAGCTTTGGCGAGGAGGGGCGCGCGGGCGCCGAGTGAGAGGAGCCCAGGCCACGCTGGCTGGGCGAGGCGCCTACCGCACACACGACCCAATTTTGGGGGCGGCGAGTGCAAAACTCAAAGCAAACAAGCAACGCACGAACTGCAAATTCCCAACTTGTGGCTATTGACCCTAGGCCCTCAGGAAGACCAAGCCAGACCAAAAATTGGAGGCGCTCTTGGTGTGTGCCTGGATGGTTTTTGGGTACATGACCCCCAAGGTGCTCACAAAGGAAATGTGTCCGGCGGAAAGGTCCTTTTGCTTGCTACCTGCTGGGCGCGGTTCGACAACCAGGCCAGCCTCCTCTGTACGGTGTTGTAGCCCTCGAGCTTTGCGACGGCAACGTTGAAAAGCCCTGCCGCGTTATGGGCCTCATGCATGGAAGGGCTCCTGACGTCTCACTGGCCCCGTTCCGGCTCTCAGGCGCCGACAGCAGGGTGCGGGGCGAGCGTGCGCGGCTTGGCGCCGCACCCGCGGGTGGCTTGATCGCATCCTCCGACCTGAACGGAACTTGCTCAGACTCACTCGAATCCGGCCGTCACAAGGTCGGACAAGTTGGACCATTGCGACAGCCTGGGCCAACGAGCCAAGACCCAACAAACCCTCGGAGCCTTGTGTGGGGCATGCCCATGGCCGTCGGCTCCACCGCAGGGAAACGCCTGCGCTATCGTTGATGACATGTTACGTGAATCGTCTGGCGTCTGGCTGAGACAGAGTGCGAGAGAGAAAAGAGATAAAGAACAAGCCACCACGCCAGGAATGGCTGGGACTAAGGCGTCCTTCCTCCTCCCGGCTTCAAAGTTTGAGACAGGGGCAACAAATGGCAAGTACCTGTTGTCCACGGAGATATATCCGCCACGAGGCCGCTCCTCGGATGCTGGAACCATGCCAACAGCATACGAAGACGACGCCTTAAGTTGGAGCCACACCCATCTGTTTAACATCATACATGGATACGCACATCTCGAATCTGCACTTGGTGTTTCACACCCATCCGGTGCCCAGGCACTGGCCGAGGTTTGGTGGGCGGATGGATGTCCTTGGTGCCCACACTGACAACAACACTCTCACCCATCGCTTTGGCGAACAAGCTGCAGGTGAAACGTCCTGTGTCACAATGGCGATACAACATGGAGGAGGACCTGCCTCAAAACAGTTGCGGTAATCTTCTAGTTGCCTGTGTGTGAACCTGAACAATGGCTCTTCCAGTCCTATGTCTTGCCTTTTGTTTCTTGAAAGAACGAAAGGGAGATAAAACGAAACGGAGGGTTGCAGCCGTTTTAACCAATAATCGTAGATGCCGAAGAAAGAGCAAACAGCGCCGGAAGTCAACCACTCGGGGGATAACCCACCGTTTGGAGGGGCGCAGACAAACAGTGTTCCAAGAAAATAAACTCACAGGGGTGTTTCTCAAAATAGTCCCCTAAAATGGTTGGTACCATTTTAGGTTCCCTGCATGCCAACTGAAGGAGAAAAGGGGGGATGGTCCCTCAGCCGACTGGGAAACCAAAGACAGCCACGGGCCGATCGCCCAGGCGCTGTCTGCCCCTTGGGCGGGGACCGTGGGCTGCCGGAGCCCAGCAGCTCCTCCACGACCTCGAGAGCTCGGAGGCTCAAACCTACCCTCTGAAGGTCAAATCATTTGGGGGGAACCCAAAATCTTTGGATGGTTGCAAAAGAAAAAGGCCTCAAGAAAACCAACCTGGAGGGGTGCTTAGCTTGCTTGGGTTGGGGATTGTCCCATCCCAATCCTTGGAGGCCTTTGCCAGCCCTAGTGCTTTTTGGGGGATATCCCCTCGATCTTTCAGGTTCCTCACCATCGCTATGTTGGGAGGAAGTGTCGCCCCATCTTTCCCCCCCCCTTCCCCCGAAGGGTGACTCACGCCCAGGGACCCAAGGATGGCAACTGTTCAGCAACAAGGCCAAGTTCTGTGCAAAGCGTTTTGGGTCGAGATAAGGGGGCTCGTATTGTCTTGACAAAGCTGAAGCCAATGAAAACTGAAGACCGTCTCCGAAATGGCATAGGTGTCCTAAATTGATGCTCGGCCTCTGAATTCTTGGTTGACAAGGGGCCTGCGCTGCCTGCAGAAGGCATTGGTTGATCGTCTGCGGGTCGTCGAACGAGCAGCCTCCGGGCTCTGCTTTGACCCAAGCCTTCTCTCTCGGGAAGGAGCCAATGCCGCACCCTCCCGGCCTTCCGGAACGACCAACTTCTGCGTGGGGTGCATGACCAAACAATCCTTATCTGCAAGCTGCTCACCTGCTCTGTGGTTTTTATATCCTGAAAACCCTCTGATTGCGTGCTTGCCATGCGCTGGCATACCAAAGCTATCCTGCAATGAAGCTGCATTAAGACACTTCCCTGCAATGGCGCAGGTGGCCGCGCTGTCCGGCCGCGCCTCAGTGCAGCGAGCAGGTTGCTCTACAGACGGCGCACGCATCCCAATCGCTCTGAAACAAGCTTGCATTGGATCCCCCCGCACCGAAAATGGTAACCTCCAAAATTGCCGGTGCTTTTAGGTTCCCTTTGAAACAACGCCAAACGAGGTACTGGTACCCTGAAAAAATGCAGCCCCAGACGTGTATCAAAGGCGCATCTTGTGACACCTGCAGGATCTCCGCACACAGCTCTGCCACACGTTGCGATGCATCCGCTGGCAGTTGTGGGTACTCAGCCTTGTTGATCCTTGCGTGGCACCATTTGGCGGTGTGCGGCTTCAAGGAACTGCGGACTCCATTCGGGGTGGTAATCTTGAGTGAGAACCTTTTGGTGGACAACACTTACATGGGAATGCATTCCGTCAACCATTGTTCGAGGGTATTCCCAAATGGCTGCATACCCGTTTTTGGGGTCGGAGGACCCTTGCCCCACAACAAGGGGCTGGTAGTGCGAAGCCCGTCACAGGCACTGACTGAGCAAAGCACATCAGCTGGAGGGGAAACGTTACCAGCTATGGACCCAAGCTAAGCGTCTTGTTCCCCAGCATGTAGTAGTTCATGCCAGGACCAGCAAAGGGACTTCTCAGAGTGTAGAGCTCATAGAGAACGCAGCCCATGCTCCAAATGTCCTGAGTGCTTTGCCCAGGTGCCGGAAAATCACCGCCATCGCGCTGCTGTGTCTGGCTGCTTCTAAAGTATGACCCTCGTGATACATTAGTTTGAGGCATCCACCTCCCAACCCCTCCTGCGGTGACTTGGATGGACCAACACAAAAAATACATACATCTTGGCGGGAGCGGAAAAAATTGCTTCATCCAAGCTGCTGACTTGAAGGAATATCCGCCGGAGTCCTCAGCCGCCGGCCGTGCCAGGCACCCAGGTCCCCCCACGAGCTTCTGACTGTCCCTGACTTTGTTATGGCATTCTGGACAAACTCTGCACATCTCAGGTGGGGTGCCATGGCAGTGCTTGCAGCCAAGAAACGGAAATTACTTCCTCGGCGTACTCCCCACGCGACAAGGAACACACAGACAAAATTGCTCAGCCACAACTGCCTGCAGTCTATTGTGGTGAGCAAACTCCATTCATCTACTTTCAGACAAAAAGCTGGAGACATGTAGAATGGTGTGCCGACAACTGAGTGGGCCTTGTAGGTGTTCGAGCTGAAATACCTTCCTTGGGCCCATCGCGAGGGATTCCAACAAAGGGCACTCGCTCTGCAAGCGTGCATCCTCTCCCTAACGCATGCAGGCCACCAAGACCAAGGTCACCCAACTTCACCATGCCGCGATGGCCTTGTTGCCAAACAGCAACTAGCTGCTCAACATGTCACAGCCCAGCTTCTCGGAAGCAAGCAAACCAGCCAAACTCGCCACCACAACAAGTTTGGGGCTCACCAACTCACCCGCAAACCGGCACCACAAAGCGGCATCTTCTGGCGAGCTGCATACAAAGGTGTTCTCTGGCTTGATGTCTCGATGCATGATGCGCTGCCTCCGCTGGCAAAAGAAAAGTACGGCACGCGCCTGCCTCCAAGCATATCGGGGGGAAAAAGAAAACAAACGACAGAGTTCTGGCCCAAGGAAGAACGAACAAACCAAGATGTGGCTAGAAAATGCAGCCTGTCAGTCTCACTTCAAAAAATACATTCCAGCCTGTGCATGTGGTGCAAGGCCTCGCTGATTTGGAAGAAAATGCCCCACACCTTCACGCCAAATTCGTCTTCAAACGTCTCAAAACAAACGCAAAAGACCAAATCAGCAACAAGATGAGTGCGCGTGTGCGCCGACAGGGGTGCCCAAAGCTGGAAGTCCTTTTGCTCTCCCTTGAACCAAGCAAAAAAGGATAACGTACAAGCTCCGCATCATCGTATACTACCCCCTGATATGATGTTTCTAACCACCAAGTGGAATATTGGGAACCCTCAAAAATCTATTGGCACAAAGCAAATGGCTCCGGCATTTGGAGCCTGGTGCTCTTGCATCAGACGCTCAGCGTGTTTGAGCTTTCCTCGGCCCCCATGAACCATAACGCGCTGGATGTGCTAAATTTCTAGACCAAACACACTAAACCTCAAAACTATGGTGAAAATTGGTAAATCAAGGAGTTCCTTGTTCACATACCAACATGGGTACGCTGGCCTCTGCACAAGACTTCTTGGGTGAGAGTTGCCGTCACCGGCATGCCATCTACTCACTCGCCGTGACACGCAAAACGCAAAGCGGTGACCATGTCAGCGCAGCTTAGGCCAATCCAAGCTTCCCAGCAGACTGGAAAGGTCACCGTGGGCTGCCAGTTCCAGAATGATCACCATTTCATCGTCTTCGGTGAACGAATCCTTACAAGCTCTGTACTCTCTCCTTTTGGTGTCATCCAGCAAAGGCGGGCTCAACCTGCAGGCCGGCAACATCCGGCAACCGCACGACGGCTGAGATCAAATAACAGCAAGGGACATAGTACTTGACGATGGTAGGGTGGGAGAGCTCTTGCAAGATCTTTGCCTCCGCATGGACTTCACGTCGAGCATGGTCATCCATCTCGTCTATCCTAAGCGGCTGTGAGCACCAGTGGCCAGCAAGTACTTAAAATACAAATCGTTCACGAGACAATTACATGTCTGAAGGCGATGCTGGCAAACAGGGAAAGTGCATTCTGCTCAGCATCTGGATGCGCTTGAGTGCCACTTCTCCTTGGACGATATGCGCATCAGGAACCGCGACATCGCATGCCATGGCATGCCAGAATGCCTCTAGTTGTTAGCTTATACCCTGTGTGCTTCCTGAAACTCTGAAACACAAGCCGGTATCCGACCAACCTCAGGCTACCTGAAGGGACAGGTTGGGGAATGTGCTTCCAAATCCATGTTTCTAGTACTCCCCTACCCCCTCAGTTCCAACTGTGAAGGGTTTGAGCCATTGACGAATGCATCGAGTCGCGGTCCCCCGCAGCCTTCCACAAGGCTCGGTGCACCTCGGAGAACTGCCCTCGCCCGATGGAGCCGATGATCTGGAAGTCATGGATGCGAGGCATCAGCCTGCCGGGGGCTCCCAGATGCGCGCACACATGCGGCATCCACTTGAGTCAAGTGAGCCAGGCGTGAACTCTGATTCGAGGCCAGCCTTGTTACTTCTTGAAGCATGTCCGCGCGCAATTGCACATTTGAAGATGGTGTCAGATGCTCTCTCTCTTTCTCTCTCTCTCTCTCTCTCTCTCTCTCTCTCTCTCTCTCTCTCTCTCTCTCTGGCCAACGGCCAGAATGAAAGGCAGCTGACCCACAAGTGCCGAGATATGATCAGGAAACCCTCCGACAAAGGCTGGCCCTTTCTCAAGGTCCGGTTTCCGCTCAGCCAACTTCTCTCGCTGCCAAGCTGTCCCTCTCTCTCTCTCTCTTTCTTTCTTTCTTTCTTTCTTTCTTTCTTTCCTTCTTTCTTTCAATTCAAGCACAAGGGTGAGTACCGCGTGTGATGAATTGCGGTTAGACCCCGCGGCAACCCAAAACTGCCCAGTCACTTGGGCCGAATCGAATTCAATCAGCGGCGCGGCCGGCCTTTGGCGGCCAAATGACTCAAAATATCTCAAATAGTCCTCATTGAAGTTGTTTCCAGGGCCGCAGTCTCAACTTTCATAGCTAGCAGCCTCTGATTTAAAAATGATTTAAAGGGAACCAAAAGGAAACCATAGCCATTTTAGGGGACCGAATCCAATTTAGAGCTTCTCACCCATTTGAATTGCGCCCAACCTTGGCTGCCCGTTACACACCACCCGATTCGGCGTTTCGGCCCTCCGATTCATCGACCCAGTCGATTCGGGGCGCCTGCAGCTGGCCGTGTCGAAGATCTTCTGCGCAGCGGGACGCTGGGAGGGGTCCACCGTGAGGATCTGGGACACAATGCTCCGAAAGTCCTTGGACCACCCGTCCTCAGCGCGCCCATCGAGAGAGACGAAAAAGAAAGGCGAGCGTTTTTCGCAAATGGGAGATATCAAATAGGGTTCTTAAGCGGCAACGGTTTCCTTTTGGTCGCCCCATCCAGCGTAAGGAGGAAATCAGAGGGAGGAAATCAGAGGGCAAAAATGAAACCCCGAGGCACCCCTCCTGCTTGCTGAGAGCCACTCTTCACATAGAAACCCCCCCCAAAAAAACGACGCCTCCGAAGCCCTGGCCAGTAGAAACAAAATACAAACATCAACCTGGGCAACTGCGCCTGGCTGTAGCACAGGATGGCACTGTCCGCTTTTGTTTGCTTGTGTGCGTGCTGCTTGTAACTTTGTGCCTACTTACCTACCCTTCTTGAGAAAGAGGTCGGCGTGCATGCCTACGTTGAGCAGCACCCAGGCATGTCTATCCATCGATGGCTCCCTCTCCCCTCTTGACATCCAGGCAGCCGCAGGCAAATGCGGGTAATCTGCTGAGCAAATGGCATGGCCCAAGGCGACGAAGTCCATATCCTACAGTCACATGGCGACACTGGTGTCAAAGCATTCAAGGCATCGCCCAACATCGGCCGTGTACAAAGCGGCCTGGGACAACGCGTCGGTGGCGACTGAGGCTTGCAAGCAAGTGGCCGTGCGGTGGAAGGGCGGGACGCCAGCTGCAAGCTCATACAGTGAACAGCCCAGGCTCCAAATATCGGAGCCTCAAAACAAAGCCGTGTGTGACAGCACGGGCGGAGTCATACCAACTGGATCCATCAAGCTGACATCCCCAAAGTCACATTTCAATTTTGTGGTTTCAAGGGAAACCACCGCACAACTAGTTTTGAGAACGCCTGAAAGGCAGCCACTTCGAGAGATCCATGCCAACTGAGCCGCCAAAGGAGTAGCCCTCGCCACGCACGATCTCAGGCGACATGTAGAGCCTGAGCTGCCACTGCCAAAACTGAATGGCTCTGTGGGGGTGGTACTGGAATCTTTTGCCTGGTCAAGCGCATGAAAACCACACACTTGCATTGGGCTCCGCGCGGTGTGCCAACACAAGACATCGCGCAGGTCGTGGCGTCTGAGAAGGCCTGACTGAACGAGCTTCCTGGTGACACGGTTGCCTGCTTAAGCACGGAAAGGGATTCGTTGGGTCCACATGGGGGCCGGGAACGTCAGGGTTGCCAAAATGGGCATAAGGTTCAAGGGTCTGCGTTTGGGGACACCGTTCAAAGACCGCATGGAATTACACCCCGTTGCAATGGGAAACCCCCACATCACTCCGCCGCAAGTTCACCACATTGTGCAAACTGAGGGGAACCCCCAAACTTTCCTGTTTCCTTTTGGCTTCGTTTCCAACAACCTCACCGGCCCTCAGAAACAATGACCACCCCCGTCGGGTAGACTTCCCAACCTTGCCCCGAACATGAGGCGCCTGCCTTGGAGAGGCCGAAATCCCCGAGCTTGGCCTGGCGCAAAGCAGGGCCGTTTGCCTCAAAACCCAGGGCCAGCGTGGCTTGTTGGCGAAGAAACCAGAAAACCAGAACAACCACGTGTCCAGCATCGACTCAGGGACATGGCAACAAGAGCTATGGGAGGGTCGTGGCCCTTGATGGATGTGGCAGCTGGGACTTTGACTTAAAGCCTCGGATTCAGATCTATGTGCACATCACTGGGGGAGATGCCCTGGTACTTAGCGGACATGAAGCAAAGAATCGGCATAGGCCACAGACACACTCATGTCTGTAAAGCGGGCATTCCCCATGGCTACGATCCTACCCAATTTTCTACAAACCTGTTCAAACACCCTCGCCGGAGCTGCCTGGCCACTCTCTCCAATGAAGATGTGGGAAGGCTTCACGTCTCGGTGCAGCACCCGCCGCTTGTGCAAGTAGGCCAACGCACCTGCGCCCACTGGAAGCCCAACTCCGGACCTACATGCAAATTCACCTAGGACTCAGAAAGCGTAATTTCTGGACTGCGGGAATCTCGTTTTGGAGGGCTCCCTCTGTGTAATCGGGGGATCCATTTGGGGGGAAACCCCCGTGCTCATCTGCGAGCAGTTCGAAAGACTCACGAGACCTGCAGAGACATTGCCAAGGCGCTTGAAACATCACAGAGCCACCGCCACAGCAAGTGCTCTTCGATCGGCTCCCCTTGCCTGCAAGACGCAAGTCTCACCAGCGCTCTGTGCTTCGCTTTCCCCACAGGCATGTGTCAAAACAGGGGGACCCAAAAAATTGTGTGTGTTTCCGTGTTTTTCCTTTGTTTCCCAAAGAAACGACACACCCACGGTGTGGACCCTCACCATCCCTCACCCAGCTGCCGCCCGGTCGCTTGTTCGCTTGGTCGATCCTGTTCGCCAGCGTACCGCCGGTGGCGAGCTCCATAACCAGGTACAAGTCCGCCTGGTAGGTGAAATGCGTGTGGTACTTGATCCTGAGCGCTCGCGACGCTGCGACAAGACATGAAACAAGCACGGCAAATTAACATGGAACCCGAAATGGGGTTGTCCGGAGATTGAATTAAGTGCAAACGGCCGGACCCATGCGTTCTGGCCCAGAAGCAGGTTCGGATGGTCCAACATCTGCAAGATGGTGATTTCAGTCTCGCACTCCTTTTGCAACCCTTCGTCCATGTCATTGGTGACCTTGGTGGGCCAACCGGACAACTTTTACAGCACCTGTTTCAGTCTCTTCGTCTCAGGCAGCAGCTTGCTTGATTGCAACCACAGCGCCTCAGACACTCACGCATGGCTGATCCGGCTTCGAGCGCTGCCCTCTGATCTGCTTTGTGAATCTGCTGGCTTGGCTTTGACGCAAGCTGTGCCATTGCCAAGCAGCAGGTCTCCAGGTAAGTCGCTTCCTGGGCCGATGCAGATGTCCAAACCCAACCCTTCCTGCGCCCTCCACCAGCCAAGCAGCGGTTACCCTGGAGGCATGGCTCCGGGCAATGCAGCGCCCCATCTGGTAGGAGCTCGGAAGATTCATGGCGGGCCATGGCCACACAAGCCCACACGGGCGATTTCTCGCAGACGCGCTTTATACTCTGCACTCTCTCTCTCTCTCTCTCTCTGCATCTTCTTCCGACTGCTCATTTGCCTAAGGTCTTGCTTTCCCAATGTTGTCCATGCTTTGTCATAAAGCCTTTCTCTAAAAGTCACACTCACGCCTAGACAAACCACAAGCTTAACTTTGGTCGCTCGGCCACATCGCAGGCAATCACAACTGTCGCACAAAGCACACTTCACGACACGACACGGTCAGCCTGCGTCACACCATGAGGCTGCCGCGGCTATGTTGGCATCTTGCGGATCAGATTGCCGGGGTGGTCACTACAAACGTCACACCTCAAGCCTCGCAGGGACCAGAGTCCATGCTCAATGGCCAAGTTGCCCAGTGTCCCTGACAAACAAAGAACCAAGTCTTTTTGGCAAGGACCCGCCAAACAGAAAGGAAACTGACGAGGGTGCCACTGAACAACCTTGGCTGCAAATCTGGCGGGGAAATGCACCGAGTCTCTGCGGCGCTCTGGCCACGAATCTAAACGCGTGGTGAGCACGGACTGCTCCTGTTGCCCCATGCCCTCCAGATTCGCATGAAGATGAGATACTACCGTGAAACGAGGTGCGGCTGGAACGATGGGCGCACCAACTTGATGTCACTTCTCACCGGAAAGAAACGGCTCAGTTGGCATAGGTCCGGGAACTGGCACGCTTCAATCGGCGAAGCCTAGCGCGCTGGCCCTTCTTCTTGCAATGGAATGGCCCTCTGCCCCAAAACCACCTATTTGCCAGATTGAACACCGACATTGGTGCCCTGCATACAGAGTCCTTTCAAAGTATGACAGACTTTCCCCCCAGGCCGGGAAAAAAAGCCACGTGTGGCGTTCAGGGCGCCTCGTCCTCGCTGCTTCAAGAGCTCCATTTTGTCCAACACCATTGGACACGTTGAATTTAACAGAGTTCACGCCTTGAAGGGCACATCCACAAACTCGGCTGCTTTACAAGGGATCCTCTCGACATCTGATAAAGATGCTTTCACATGCATCCTGCAAGAGACCGTGCACTAGGATTCGCATACTCGTGCCTGAATGCGCTGACCAGCTGCACGTGCACTGACGCCAATACAGCGAGCAGCTTCTCGTAAAACATAAACCTGGGATGCCCAAGTAAGGTCTAAAATCGTGCATTTTCCTGCCCCTGGCTATGGTGGAGTCGTTTTGATTTGTAGGTTGGAAGTTTATGGGTACATTCACCGAAACCTCCAGCGGATTTCCATGAACAAATTGGCGCACTGTTTTCCATGGATTTCCAGCGGATTTCCGGGATCTCTCACCCTTCTCAAGCGCTGCCTGAGCAAGAAAAAGTAGCTGCTCCCCTCGCAACCTGGACCTGCCCCCTCTGGTGCCATGGGTAGCAAGGGCCTCCCTGCAAAGCCAAGCTGCATAAGCGCAGAGTTCAGCACAGTCCTCGAGAGGCTCGCACCAACTAAAACGCAACCCCACCTACACACGAGTCTTGAAAGCCGCGCAGTGCGAACATATTTCGGGCCAAGGCTCTGCAACAGCTTTGCTTCAATTCCAGCATAAAGTGCCAGGAACCCTCAGGTGAGATGCAAGTGGAGGAACCCGGTATGGGGAATCGACTAAGTGTGTCAGGCAAGCACATTGCTCTTCCCCTGGTTGGCAGACTCTCGTTGTGCTGGCGGTTCGCAGCAGGAGGGAGAAGCAGCGGAGCTGAGGGATCGAGTACAATGAGTAGAGGCCACGAAGGCCCTCGTCAAAACATTCTGGCCCAACAGCGGCCATGATTCTGGCAATAAGCAGGTCCAAAAGCATGATAATGGTGATAGCCTTTCTGATAGTGGTGACAATATTCAATCCGGGAATGGCTTTCTCACACCCCCTGTCAGCTGTCCCTCTACGGGTCTTCGGCCAAAGCACCATGAGCCACCACCACATCCATCAAGCAGTCCACAAGGCTCATATCGTCCATGCCTTGCACGTGACGATACACGCGCTGCCTCGTCCTGGGACGGCAGCGTGTCCAAAGGCAGACTGGTCACTTAGGGATCGCTTAAAAGGTTCACTTAGGGATCACGGTCACTTAGAAATACACGGTCACTCAGGGATCACATTCACGGATCACTTGGGGATCACTTAGGGATCACATTCACGGATCACATTCACGGATCCCGGGGAGGGGGGGGGGTGGGGGGGATGATAAGCACACCCGCTCAACTGCTGCAGACCAGCCTATTCTTTTACCGGATTACAAAATAACATGGTTCTGAGGGGGGGTGCTAACAAGGGCACGCACACACAGGCTCATACATGCAAACACGCACGCGCGCCTACGAACATACGCCGCAGGGCATACATGTCAACACGCGTGCACACAAGCACATACATGGACTCGCGAACATACATAGTAACATATGTCATGAGACATACACGCCAACAAGCACAGACAAGCGCATAAATGCAAACACACGCGCGCATAAAACATACATCGCGAGGCATACATGTCAACACGCATGCATGCACGACAAGCCTTCTTCAAAACGCGATCCCGGGGCGACCCAAATCCGGGATCCCTAAGCGAAACAATTCCGCAATCCCTAATGCGACCCACTGCCCGTGTCCAAACTCCCGCAGGCGCTGACGCATTGGGTTTCAAAGGGAACCGGCACCCGGATTTTGAGACAAACCCATGCTGTTTACGGAGCAGGTTGCCCCTGCAGCTGGGGCTCTGAATCACCTGCGCGGGGTACGTGACAAAGGTGGCGCAGGATTTGGCCAAAGCACCTGCTAGGAAGGCCTCCAGCGCCTTGGGCTGCGGCAGCCTGAAGAGGTTCCGCTTCAGCATGTCGTAAATCACAAACCTCGGCAAGAAAACGAGCCGTGGTTCTGAAATTGCAGGTCACGCCTCAGTTGGTGGACATCATTTACATGAGGTGTTAGTTTGAGGAGTGGTATTTTCAGGGATCCCTTCAGGGGTATCATTTACTTGCGTTTGACATGGGATCGTGTCCGCCAACTATTGCCAAAGGGCTAGCGTGCGGCCCACATGCAAACAACACGCGCTGAAGCGAAAGTTGCGGGCACACGCAAACCAGAAGCAAGTTGCTTGAGATCTTGCATCTGCATAATCATTCCATGCCGGCGCTGTGACGTGACCCATCTTTGGCCTTGATAAGTGACTTCCCATGCCGGGCTGAGCAGCTGAATGGCAGGATTGGCAACCTCAGCGCAAAACACCATGTTCAATGTCAAGTTTCCCCCGGCTGACCATTTGCAATTAGTAGATGATGTTCGCATTGGCAGCTACTCAGTTGATATACGATTGGGCCGCTAGCCTTTTACGCTTCCCAGTCAGGCTGAGTGGCCAAAAGCAAAGAGGAGAAGACCCCGTTCCACAAAGCTCCGGCACCCTCATCGGCCATGATGTAGCCAAGCCTCGGCCCAAACATCACTGCCCATGCCTTCGGCCCTCGAGCACCCGATTCCCAATGGGTCCCACTCGGCTTGGGCATTCGCAGATGCCGTCGCAGCTCCTAGCCGAGGGTCTCCTGCCAAAGACCCGTGCCCGTGGCCTTGCCGATCTTCAAGCGCGTGGTGGCCTTGGCCGTTTGTTTGGCTTCTCCTAGACCCTCCCAACCCAAGAAAGGACACCACCTGCATGCCTCCCAGTCTTGGAAAAATAGACGGTGGCAAGAAAAGCCAGGGAATTGAACGAGGGAAAGATTCAGATCGCTATCTCAGCTCCCAGCCACCCAAAGCGGATTGCTCAGCAGCACCTTGGCACGTGGAAACGCATCGGCCTTTCCCAGCCTGGAACATGTGGGGTGTCTTTCTTGAGGGTACCCCTTTTCGGGACACGAAAGGGTATCCAGCCTCCTTTGGGGCCCTATTTGGAAAACAAACCCATACTGAGCGCTGTTTTTCTAAATAGGCTTCGCGCAACTCTGTCAGATGCCATCAAGTGGCGCCAAGTACCCCCGCCAGACCAGCAGCCAGCAAGTCCGCCAGGCTTTGTGGCAGCCACGGCGCGTGCAAGCGGCCCTTGAATGCAGTGTAAGCACCTTGGCAACTTGAGACCCTTTGCCCTCCCACATGCTCCCACATGGGTATGTGTCAAAATAGGGATGTGGACCGCTGTAAGCAACCCCCAAAAAGCAAGTATCCTCAAACAAAAAAGCACATCCACCGGGTGGTGGGAAATACACCTTTGCGATACTAAAGTAGGTCATCCCTATGAAACTTTGTGACTTTTGAGGGGTTCGTTTAGTATCACCATTCAGTGGGCCTTTGTCACAACCATGGCCTCCATTCGTCGGCTTCGTAGCAAACATAATGGCCCCATGGAAATTCTGCTCTCACGGGATCAAAGTCGCGACCATGACAAGTCTTCACCGGCAATCTTAAACTCCATGGTTGGGTGCAGCTGGTGCAGCCTCTGTAATTGCATGACGAGTCCACGCCTGCTGAACCATCTTCCCCAAAAGTAGTCGCCGAATCTCACCAGGACACGCCGCGCAAAACTGCTCTAAGTCTGCAGAACAGGCCACTTCAAGTCACATGTCTGAGCGTGATGGGACAAAAGCACAACCTGCTGCAGCCCAGTCACCAAAATAAACAAAGTATGAGAAGCCAGTCGCCTGCAGTTGGCTAGTCAGCCCTCCTTAGACAAGCTGGACTGAGGCTGCACACTCATCGCTTGCCTGCTTTGTCTGATGCTTTCCTCTGGCGCTTTGCTTTGCACGGACATCATTCCCTGAGCTCATTTGGTGTCCAATTCTCGATCTTTGGCTAAGGCTCTGAAGGCATCGTCTAACAACAGGAAGTAGAGCAGCCCACCATGTTCACCGGTTGCTTGCGACAGGACGCCTGCCTGATCCAAAGGATACCTTGCAGAAGGTCTGAAAGTGTCTGAGCATATCACCCGTTGTTTAACTTGCCAGAGGCTGCAAAGAGAGGAACGTGCTTGGCCCACTTGGCAACATTAGACAGGTCGCAGCAGCACTACTGAGGCAATGCTCGCCACGAGCCCCGCCAGCCCGCTAAGCACAGGTGACACCATGGCTCGGACTGCGGGACTGCGACCCGTGAGGGTTGGCCCGTGCGGCTGGCTGGCTGGCTGGCTGGCTGGCTGGCTGGCTGGCTGGCTGGCTGGCTGGCTGGCTGGCTGGCTTGCTGTCTGGCTGGCTGGCTGGCTGGCTGGCTGGCTGATGCTTACCCCTTGCCACAAGCGCCCCCTGAAGGTGTGTTTCTCTGCTTCGAACGGTGTCAAGTGTCAAGTGGTTTGCATGAGTCCCTGGCGGCATGTTGCAGACTCTGACATTGTGCGGCTGGGCCATGCGACCTCTCCCTCCCTTTGAGCTTGAGCAGGGCTTCATTGGCCTCTGGCTTGCTGCCGCTGCTCGCCGTTGGCCTAGATTTGCCTGCTATTCAGGACCTTCCCCTTTTGCTCGTGCGGTCAACAACGGACAATCTCCCTTCTTTGGGGAGGCTGCACGCAGGTCCTGAAGAGGTTCGTGAACCAAGAGCCTGGCTCCTGACAGAAACACCAGCAACTCTGCCGTCAGAAATTCCAGCAAACCCTACCACTCCAGCCCCGCCCACCTCCTTGGCAAGGAAGCCGGACTCAAACAGCGCCAGGCGGGTGCCTCGGCCCGAGGCCTCTGTGAGCCGCGTCGCCAAGTTCTCCTAAGGCACATGCCGGCCCATCCCCAGTGGGGCACCATCAACAAGAGTCTTATTGCCTTTCCAGGGGCATCTCTACTTGCTCAGCTCAGCTCCTGATCAATCTCCTCATCAAACGCCAACAGGATTTCATTGAACCTTGGCTTCCAACTGACGGCATCACGCGCAGCCGATGCGCAGCCGATGCCCTCCAAAGCGCATCTACCGAGGTGCGACACATCCCCATGCCGTCGCAGGAGGTTCCCAACCTGGCAGGCATTTAGTTCCGCCGCGGCAGGCTACCAAGGCAAACCAATTCACACACCCACACAAACACACATTCTGGAGACACGTTCAAAAAGTCCATGATGCAGCTTGGCTGGTCGCAGGCGGGCCGCTGAATTGGAGACTTTCTCTGCGACGTGGCTGCGCTCCGCAACCGCCCTAGGCTGTGAACTTGCAGCCATGGTTGGTGGATAACACCAAAACATGGTGACGACATATCGATGCATCTCAGTGTCCCATCATCATCAGTGGCGTAGGCCTGTCAAAAAAGCCAAGGCACACTCGGAAACTCTGCTCTGCTGGAGGTGCCCCGAACCCTTCCCAAAGACACGCGAACAACAGCTTTAAATGTGATAATTTTGAGTACCTGAGTAGAATTGTAATGTGTCAGGCTACCTCATCGCCTATACTGAAAGCTTTACTGTCAGGCCACAGCACGCAAGCTCGCAACAGTCCTTCCCGTCAACAAGATATCCCCTAATTACCCCATTCCATTGAGCGGGGGTAGGGCAATTCATGGTCACATGTCACGCGGAAATGCAGCAGCACAGGGTAGGCCACTCGCCTCCCTCCAAGCCTCGAAGAAGAGCTTCTGCAAGCAAGCCAAGATGTCATCCACCCTGGCATGCTTCACACCCACTCCGTTTCAACAAACCTGGGAACATGTCAACTATCCGCAGCAGCCAACGCTCAGCACCAAGCTGCCGAGCTGTTGCTGCGACCAGGGCCACGCCTTGCCGCGCCGCCTTCCGGCAGCAGGTCCGCCATCAAAGCAGCTGCCGCCATCGCACTGAAGTCCAGCACGCCTCGAATCAATCGGACATCAATCCGATCGATCGGGGATTTCAAGTTCCCATAGGAAGACAATGCCCGCATCCTCCTGGCAGCGGCAGCCCCAATGAATCCCCGGAAAATGAGGTTGGGAGGAAGGGATCCTTCAAGCAAACTCCTGTACATTTGCCCAGGGGCAATTTGATCCGGGGGACGGCGCTCAGCAAGTGGCACGACGCGTGATATCATTCATGCCTTGACCGCTAACGTCCAGCTTCAGCGCCAGCGGCCGAAACAATACCAAATTGGAACCCCACCCAGGACTCTTTCCCCCTTGAACATCACCCCAAGAGGAAAATCGGCCCAAAATTGGTCCAAAATCGCTCCTTGAACTGGCTCTAAAACAAGAGCCAAGAAAGATTTGTTCCCTTGCATTGGATTCTTGGGCCGTTATGAAAACCATGTCAAAAAATAAGATGCTATTCCTTCCAATTCGCCGCAGCCCCGTGCATCCGCCACCGCCACAGCGACCTCGCCATTGCGCACCCCGCGCAATGCCAGGAGGCGCAGCGCCAGGCGAGTGGAGAGCAGGCCGTCCCCGTCCTTGCGCTCGGCAAACGCATGTGGGCGAGCGGCGCGTGTTTGACGGCGGCCCGGTAGCTTTCTTGAGCGGTTTTTGCAGGGAGACCAAAAGACTCAAAATCCACAATTGTTGGGAGTTGCCCTATTTGGATGCATGCCCACGCGGACGCTGGAAACGCATCCACATCATGGTGGGCGTGGCCTTCAAATTGCTTGGCCCATTCATGTAAGACTCTCCGGATTGCTATATTTTTCGGAACCACTGAGTCCCTTAACCTTGGGAGGCGCAAACTGCTAGATTCTCAACAAACAAATGAGGTTTGGTTCGGGCTCTGCAGTGCGGTGTCGGTCCCTGGCAACGACGGGCCGGCCTCGTCCATTCGCTGGAAATCTGCTAGGAGCCTCTCCTCGAGTGGGACTGACGAGCAAGCATAAGTCAGCTTTCAGACCACATTTCTATTCTTCACCTGTGCAAAGGCCGGCCAGCCCTTGACCGGCAGGTTTGAGAATTGACTTCTGGCAAGATCTGAGAGTGGACACCTTTTGGTTGACAATTGAAAGGAGACCAAACCCAACAGGAACTCAGCCATTTTAGGAGACCCTCTCCATCCGAGTCTCCAGATCGCGGTGCGCCATCTCAACCGGAATTAGGAGCAACACCTGAGCTGAACCCGACGCCGTCAGCCAAGGAGCCGTCTCAAAATGGGACACACCCCGCTTGGATGGCTCTTACAGGCATCTATTCAACAAGGCCCAAGTTTGAGGTTGTCACATTTGGCCAGCTGAGGCGGCAGCCAGCAGATAGCAGGTCAACCTTCCCGCAAGAAACCCGCACGTGCAGCAAACACTGCCAGGGCACACCCACAAACGGCAAGGAGCGCAGAAAAGCACAAGTGGCCCAGCACAATCCGCGGCCATCAAACCGTTTCCGTTTTCATCTGAGGAATGCCTCTTGGCTGGCCTACTCAGGGCATCTTCCCGAGCAAGCCCAGCACTTGCAAGCCCAGGACGCAGCAGAATGTTCCTGAGCCTTGGCGCGACACATCCCACATTAATGCACTGGTTCAAATGGATGCGTCGCTCGACCAACGAATCGCTTTGAAAAGACTCGCATGGCTGGCTGTGAAGTTGACACATTGAGCCCCATAGAAATACTTGTAGCTGCTGGACAATAACTCCGCATGTAAATGATGTCCTCATGGGCCATGCTGAACCTTGGATCCCGCCTCACGGGACATGTGCCATGCTCACTGTGACTTCCGTGTCAAAGCGCCAAGGATGCTGAAGTGCCAGCGCCGCGGTGCAGGGCACATCCTCCACCAGCAGGAGCTTTACGAAGTCCTGAGCGATTGCCCCACTTTTTGGCCTCTTTCCAGCAGATCTGGGAAGGCTGACCTCGTCAAATCCAAGGCATGGACCAACGATGGGCGATAGGGATGTTAGACTGTCACTGGCATCTTCTGAGGGAAGTCGCACATGCGGCCAGGTTGCAAACGCCTCCTGGCTGCGCGGGGTCCACAGGTCGGGATCGTCCAGGTGACGCTCCACGTCCTGACGCCAAAGCTTGGCCGAACAACCAGTCGTCTCACAGGGCTTGAAGCGAGTTGAGCCGCTCAGCCCTGTTTGTTGGGATGCAGGCCCCTTTCGTAAGTCACAGGCACTTTGAAGCAAGTATCTTTCACTTTCGCTAGAAGCCCCCCTTTATCCGCAGCCAAGTTGACGATTGCCTTGGCCATGATGAAGGGAGGATGTGGCGATGAGCTAATTTGTTCATCATCATCATCATCATCATCATCATCATCATCATCATCATCATCAGCAGCAGCATCATCATCATCATCATCATCACCACCATCGTCATCATCATCATCACCACCATCATCATCATCATCATCATCACCACCATCATCATCACCACCATCATCATCACCACCATCATCATCATCACCATCATCATCATCAGCATCATCATCATCAGCATCATCATCGGCCTCACCGTCCTGGCATGGAACGGCCATGCATTTCAATGGGAACGTTCTCGGGCGTGGCTAGTGGACACAAACCCCATGCAAATGGCCCACCAAAAAAGAGCCTCAAGTTCAAAACCCTCCCCCAGTCCTCTGCCTGACTGGGCGTCAAGCCCAGGAGCAATGCCAGCGCCAGCCTGCACTAGTCTCATTTAGTCTCAACACACAGAACCTGAGAACAATCTAACACAAAAACAAAAACAAAAAACGGAAAGTCATTTAGGCTCATGGCCTAAATGCCAAACTTCGGATGCTGACAGGCGGCAGGCCCACCCCTTGTAAATCCGCCTCTGCGCCTGGGCTGGAACAAGTCATCCCATGTCTGAGGGATTTGCCCTGAAACTTGCAGGTCAAGGACTCGGTCTCCGGTCCCACAGCCGAGGGCAACAAAGCCGGCTTCGTCAGCAACAAAGCCAGCTCTGAGCCACCCGCCGTTTTTGGATCCTGGAGCGTGTGTGTAGGTCAACATGCGGGGGCACAAATATTGTAGTTGGTCCTTGTGAATGTCTCAAAACATGCCAACGCGCAGAAAGCGTTGACTGTGTCCTCCCTCCAAGGCATCAAGGACGCCCACGTCACTGAGCAGCACTCGCGCATCTGGCTGCCTTTCCAGGGAAAGCCAAGCGTGTTCTGCCAGCGCAAAGAAACTGCTGCTGCCCATTTGCCACCCATGGAGACGACCCTGGAAAAAGGCAGAATTCATTCCTGCAAAGGGGAGTGGCAAACCAAACCTTCCGAATGCCTCTTCGAATGAACTGGCCTGGAGGTGAGGAAAACACTGCCGGGTCGGAGCTCATGATGGTAGGCACCTGCTCAAGCACACGCTTTGCCGCACGCAGCACGCTTGTTAATTTCCTAGGCCGCCACCCTGGCCCGAAGGCCCAATTTCGAGAAGACACACGCAAGCTCTACACAGGCACCACTTCACAACTACTGCTCCCGAATATGCCGCTGAGTGCACGCAAGGCGCCACAAGAGTGGCAGTGCACTAAAGCTGCAAGGACCTGTGCCACGTAGCTGGCGCCTTGGATATCGAGCGGTGGCGCTGGCTCGTTGGATCGGGCAAAATCAGACATATACACCTCCCACAATCTGAACCTGTTTGGACAGCGATGCAGGCACTCTTTGAGGTAGCAAGGCCTACATTGATTTCCTCCTCCCATCCCCTGCTTCCGCGATTTCCTCTCAAAGCGGCACGTCTCCTCTTCCACAACCTCCTCGTGGGCTGCCAGCCTGCATAAGTCCAATTTCCACGTGGGAGCATCTTTTTTGAGGGAATGGGACCCTGGCTTCTGGGAAACCAAAGGAATTCTCCCATTTCAAGAACACCCTATTTTGAGACAACCATCCATCAGTATGGCGGCCGCTGGCACCCCTTTTCTCACCCTGACGTTGTCCGCTGAAACATGTCTGTCACCCGCATGTAGTCGCCAATCGCGTGGGCTTGCGCAGGGTACGGCAAACCTTGCGCTCGAGACAATGTCGGTTGGTGATACCAATTGCGGGCACCCTGTTCAGACTGGTTGAGGGGGAAACCATTGGAACACAAAAACAACTTAGGGGCATTTCGACCCATATATGGGGGGTGCAACCACAAACAAGAATATATATTTCGGAAAAAAAAAAAAAAAAAAAAAAAAAAAAAAAGAAACAAAAAACCTTGGCGCCAGACCAGGCTGCGCTGGAGCGGGCCGGTAGTGAGTCTGCGAAGGCGGCCTTGGCTTTGGCAACTAAACAGGAGCATGGCCCGAAGCCAGTGATACTGTGGATGGACAGCAAGCTGCACAGTTGGTGGTTGGTTTACCCGAACATTCATGTGGGCATTATCGCACAGCAGTGAAGGACCGTTCAAAAGGAGGGACTTCAATTCCACAACCAGTCCAAACCATGACTTACGGGCCAAGGGGAAGCTTCTCCAAGCGGCATGGACCCATGCGCCTGGGAATTCCGTAGGGGCGCTTGCATCGTCGCTTCTCGCTGAGTTTGTACAGTGGCTGCCGGCAGCTGGATGTGCATCAGCGATCTTTGCGCCATCTGCGCCGGCTGGGTGCCTCAAGGGTCATTTGGCTTGGGAGCTTTGCGGTCGGCCTCTCACATGCCCTGGGCAACTTCCCACAGTATCCTCCAGCGAAGCACGCAAATTGTTCGGAGGATTGGTGGGTCCGCAGTGGGCAAAGCCTCGTTGAAGGCAGAGACCCCGGTCCCTTTGAAAGGAAACCCAAAGCAGGTTGCCAAACAAGACCGGTTCAGACTTCTCCCAAACTGGGGCCTCCCATTTCGCCCAAGGCGCCCCGGGATGCGAAGCGAAAATGAGGTGTCGACGGCAGGTTCTGCACGTTGCCGCTGCTCGGCGTAGCCGCTGAGTTTTGGCTCAGCTGCTGCAGTTGCTGCAGATGTTGGTGGAGGTGCTGCTGCAGATTCCTTGGGCGGAAATTTGCAGAGCGAAGCCTCTTGCAGTTCCTGCCTGGAGAATTGAAAAGGGAACAAAGGCAAAGCGACAGTGCAAAAAGAACCTGAAAAGCCGGGTGGGGGTAGTGCTGATATGATTGGCAAAAGGCAACGCCTGACTTCAGGCCTCCACAAGGGAGCCTCCATGGTTCCCGACACAACAGCCCAAGCCCTTCGCCCGGCCTACAGAACTTGTCCAACCATGAGTCCAATTAATAGCCTATCACAGAGCACTTGGCCAGCCAAAGCCAAGGCTCAAGCAAGCCAGACAAAGCCGATACATTGATACGTCGCCCGTGAGCAACGGATTGGGAGTCCCTATTTTCAGGCGAGTCCTTTTGGGTTGGTCTACAGACAAACCCAGAATGGCAACTTGGCAGCCCCATGCCCTGTGCTGCCAGGCAACTGCGAGTTCTCCACGGGCCTCTCTTGCGCTTCTGGCGGCCCACCTGGCAGAAACAAATGCTTGGCCAACACGTTCCAAAGGATCTGGAAAGTAAACAGACCCCATTGCCTCACTGGGCGAGGGAGGGGGCAGAGACATTTCAGCACCCGCCTCGACCCTTGGTCGGGCTCAACTGGTCTGGGTGTGAGGTTAGGTACTCGATGCATTTCCTGAGCTTAAGCAAGACAAAAGACACACTGACGAGACTCAACGCAACTGGCAGGCAAGCAGCACACGACATCGAACAGGGCCAAGGAGTGACTTCTTTCACTGCGCCATGACAAAACAAGCCTCACCTAGACTGCTTGTACCTTTGGTGCGGCCAAGCTTCTGATTCAGCGTCTCCAAAGGTGGATTCGCCTGTGATGCAAACGCCAGAAAGTACCGCACGTTGCTAGAGTCGATGACCTTGTTGCACATCTCGAATTATGCCAACATGTCCATGGCTCAAGCACGGAAAGAGCAGCTCACAAAGCCACGGCGCAATGCTCTCAGTGCACTGTCGCACCAAGGGCTTCAGCTCGAAGTGCTGGGCCAGCTCCAGCATGGACTCAGCCTGGGCGCAAGCTAGCGGCAAAACTGCTTGACTGAACACCCTGTCACCAGCCTCGGGCGGCGCAACGGGAAGCATGAACCGGCTGTAGATGTGTTGCAAAAGCAGTTGCCTTGGCAAACAGCACATTGTCGTGGAAAAGGCAGTTGCAGCATGACAAACCCTCGCGTAAGTTAGGATCCCCGACGCCCCTCACATCCAACGCACCTCCCGTGCACCACCTACGCGCCACCTATGCCAGGGTACAAAGTCGGAGTCTTCATTCGGTGCCTTGGCGTGCGTATCTCGGCACTAACGCGGCCGACTAAACAACCATGCAAAGAAATTAAAGGGTGGCTACCCCTTTTTCTTATTGGGACTGCACCCGGGAAATTCAGAGAATGTTGCTTCTGGGTTGGGTCCAGGTGGCAGGTACACCCGATGGATGCCCTCCCCAAAGAGGCGCGCCAGAGCAGGGGCAAAGCGCTTGAGCACCGCCCGGTGCACGGGGACCTTCCTTGGTGCCAGCCGCAGCGACAAGCCTTTCCCTTGAAACTCACGGAAAGACTGACCAATTTTTTTCATTGGATCCATAACCAATCGACCTTCACTAGGATGGATTCTAACCAAACCTCATCTGAAACCCTATAAACAGGCAGGTTTGGGGATACCTCTGCAACGAGGAGTGCTTTGGGGCTTCATGGCCAGCAAATCATGATGGGAATTCAGTTGAACCTGCAAATCATCATCTAAACAAGCATGTGTTCTGGGTCAGGCAACCAACCCAGCGCTAAAAATCAGCTTGTGCCCGAAGTCAAAAGATTACGGTGGCCTTGAATGAACGTTATGCTTTGAAGGGCTTCCGGACACCAGCCACGATGCCTCCTTCAAGCGCATTGTCAGCTCGTTGAATCTGTTGCCACGCATTCTAATTTGGACTTCTTGTTGGCCGGGGTGCGTCCCATCAATGACGAACTCCGCGTCGGCAGAAGCTTCGTCGCCCAAGAAGTCCAGCCTTGTCGGATGCAGAGCAAGCTGGAGAGCATCACTGTCATTCGAATTCTGTGTCCGGGTCCAAAATGAGGCTTTTTTGGTTTCCATTGGCAACCCAACCCAAACAAAGGAATGCTCCTCCAAAAAGAGCAGGCTTTTCAGGGGCTGCTTTTTTCCCGTCCCAGCAGCTCAGACAAGCCCCTGGTGTCGCGGGAGGTAGACTCCTCGGCTCGCCCAAAGGCTTCCCAGCAGGTGCTAAGTGGGGGGGTCTGAGCAGACTCCATCCCATTCCGGTTTCCTTAATGGGCTTAGCACGTGCAGCTGAATAGTTACTGCTTTCTGCGGACATCGGCTCTCCCGAACAAGTAGAAAGCCCAAGTCGGTCGCAGCGTTACATTGAGTGAGGTGCCACTGCTCGACTTCAATCATTCAATGGTTGGCTGCCGGGGGACTTTGTATAGTTTGGTAAGGAGCTATGTTCTGCCGCTTTGTTCCATGTCCTTGTAGGACCGAAGTGACTCGAACGGGCGGCCGGTAGGAACGGGCTAGTTCACTTTGAGACATGTTTGGTTTTCCACCAACATACGCCTAAACAGAGTACCTCAAAAATGACACATCGTGTACAAGTCTCATTGCCAAGGCACAGCCCCATGGCTCAGCAGCTCCCGGGGAACCTTGAAGAGGCAGTGCTCCAGGTAGTGCTGATCCCCATCATGCGGTGCGCCCTGAATCTGATTTGGTGTTCCATTTAAACAGGTCGCGTCTGCGTGCGAGAAAAACATGAGAAACAAGAAGAAAAGAATGGAAAGAGGCGGAAAGAGGGCAAGAATGCAAAAAGAAAGCAGCTGGAGGTGTGCCTTTCTGATTTTGCCCTTTCCGCTTGCCTGCTGATAGGCAACCACCCCGGTGCCCTCCAGGCTGTACACAACCCGGCCATCGCTTGGCCGTGGCCCGAGCAACAGCGGAGGCAGCAACGACCATTGGGACTGGGCCATGTTGTAACCTGGGCCAAGGATCTGATAGGCCGATAGGCTTGGGGGATGGCTGCGTGGACTCTGTCGACGCTGTAAGGAGTTCTTTTTTAAGAAGGGCCTAGAGTGGCTCCTGGGCTGGAAGCAAAGCCCGGGCAAAAACCTCCGTACCAAGCAGCTGTGCACATTCTGCGTTCCATAATCGCCACCGAAAACAAAGATCTGGCCATCAAAAGCCATTGCATAGTGCCCAGTCATCACCTTAGAATGCTAAGCCAAGTTGGGCCGCACAAAAGGCGCGCTGGCAAGCTGCCTGAGCTTTTGGCTGGTGGCTTCTCTGGCGACATCTTGCCCACTTCCTCCCAGCGGTGCTCCTTCCAAAAGTTGACCAATAACTCACGCTGTCTGCTTGTTACCCATGCAGTCATTTGACACTGGTGCTCTAGTAGGTTGCATCACGATTTGTGTGTTTGGCCAAACGGGTGAAGACTTTATTTGGAGTTTAGAGGTTGGTCTGGGTGATTTAGGTTGGGTGTAGGACAGGTTTTGGGTAGAGGCTTGTACTTCGGGCTTAGTTTAAGGGCTGATCTGGGTTCAATTTTGGGGTGTTCCGGGGTGAGCTCGCCTTGGTTCGGGTTGGTTTGTGATTGGATAAGGGTGGACGAGATTGGAGACTCCCCCTTACGGAAGCCTGACTGTTGAGTGGATCCCCTAAAATCATCCTGGCTTGCAGGTGGCACGCCAAACATGGAGAAAAACCTGTCCAGGAGACTCCACAGGCACTCCCAATGAGGACAAAAGCGAGCAACGCCCCAAACACTTCCAAAGGCCTGCAAGTCGAAGCTGAAGAGGCCATTTGTGGGCTCCACACCGCCATCCTCGGCTGGGTGCCAAGGGGGTCCCTGCAGAGCTCCTTTTTGCTTTTTGGGTGGATATGCCAGGCTATTTGGCAGCCCTTTCTCTCGCGTTCGCTGTCTCTCTCTCTCTCGCTATCTCGGCTGCTTGCGGCAATCTGATAGCTGCGAGTAAAACTTGCGTCCGCGCGGCAGGTCCAGCCACGCAGCCACCGAAGATCCATGCTTTCTGGTCGTAGACCACGCAGGACTGGCCTGAGACAAAGCACCAGTCCTATGGCGCAACTCGCAGGGATGGGCACTGAATAGAGTTGGAGGCATCTCACAGTTTGCGTGCGCCGGCCATACCTCACTTATTGCAGGCGGGGGGCCGAAGCGGCAGCCGGAGTAAGCACAGCCAGGCTTTGTGGCTGGAAAGCTGCCTTCGTACCTTAAGTGAGAACTCATCTCGACTGCGGATCTGCTCAGTCCTGTTCTTCCTATCTGAAGGAACCAATACCGGCAAGGCTGCAAAATCTGAACTTTAAACCTGGCTTCTGGGAATGTATCCAACTTGCAGCCCAGGCAGCTCCACTTCGGTCCAAACTCGCTCCTCTAGACCTCGCTTGCTGGCCGTGGAGCGTTGACACGTCCGGCGCTGATTGCAGCCAAGAGACTAAAACAATAAACGAAGGAACCCGTGGTATCTCCAGGGAAGTGCTGAAGACCACAAAGGAAGTAGAGACCTTGACGTGAGAAACCCGCGGCAAATAGCAAACTAGATTCAACTAGATACCACCTCAGCCGACAAGTGTTTCAACTTCACTAGCCGCTTTAAACTTATCTTTCAAGGTAAAGCTCTTGTCAGAGGCGCGCGGCCACGCGTGGCACCAAGTGTCCCTTTGTTGTGCCCGTAGATGCGAGCAGGTTGGGAAACCATTTGGTGCCTGGCTAAGTAGAAACAAACCTGACTGCTCCGTGCCGGGGGGCTGCTCTGGAAGGGTGCCAAGCTGAAGCCATGTCGCTTCTTGGGCGCAATGCCTGCCTCCACCAGCTTCGAGCGCCCCGCCTGTGGTACAGCTATCCCTCGGGCAGAAGTCAAAACGGGCAGCGAAATAGGCGCAAAATGGTTGGTGGTTCTCTTTCAATGTTCACAAAATGGCCAAAGAAATGCGTCTCATGGGACACCCAGCAACCTGCCTTGTTCGTCGCTGACAAGAACAGCGGCTCGGGCGTTGGGTCGCTGTCGGTGGCAGTGTCCATGCTGTAGACCTTCACACCGTGGAATGCACATGCGCAGTAGTAGTCAAAACTCCTTGCGTGCGCCTTCTCTCAAAAAGAAACCCTTACACTTGCTGACAAAAATCCCTTTTGTAAAGGGTTCCATGACTATCCCCACCAACCTGAAGAAAAGAGGTCTTGTTACCACGACACAGACGGCAGACCCCGACAGGCTCATACAGCCTTGGCTCCAGAACTCCCACCTCATAGCGGTGGTCGGACCCCCAATGCAGGGGACAGTGAAGGATGCACACCTGAGAACATGCCAACACCTGAGAACGTGACAACGCATAAAGGGTGGGTGAACAGCAAGGGCTGGTAAAGGAAAACTCACCCCCTGTTTGGGCCCCATTTCGAGAGAAACCCATTTGTGTGAGACTATTGCTTTAATGCGGTGCAACTGGCCTTCTCTGCTGCAGCTGGTGACCGCACGACTGCATTCACTGCCAGGGGCAAGTCCTCGGCCTGCACCGAGGGATGTTGACGGGGCTACGGAGCAAAATAAGCATTTGAACCCTAAAATGGTGTTCATTTGGATGACGTGACAACCAACCTGAAAGGGAACCCCCCAAAAAACACGCATGAGCCCGGGTTGACTTTGGAGCGGCTTCCAAAAAACCGCAAATTGGGAACACTTCACTTCTCTCCTCCTGGGATGCTTTTGCCCCACCCTCCCCTCCAGCCAGTTGGGGGGGATCCCTTCCGCTTCCCTGATTGTTGGAGAAGGATGGCGTGTCCGAGGTCCCTTTTTTTGGACCGCGCAGGCTCGCACAAAGTGCTGCGACGAATCTTTGGTGGTGCCGCGCGAATTCCGAAAACGGTTGATTTGTGAACTCTCTGCGGATTTTGTGCGTGTTGGGTCGTTCTCATTGTGGCGCGCTGCGAAATGCAACGTCAACATCAACCCTCTGCAGGCGTTAGGTGCGTTGAATCGCTGTCGCTGCGGTGAGGTGCGGAATGGGGCGAATCGGATCACTCTCGCTGTGGCGCCTCTCGTTGTGGCGCCGCCCACTTTCGGCGGGTCGGATTGCTCTGGTTGTTGCGCGATGCGAATGTTCAACATCGAGAGCGAACCCTCTGCAGACTTTGGGCGTGTTGAATCACTGTCGCTGCGCACGCGGCACGCGCAAAATAGCGAACCATCACTCTGGTTGCGGCTCGGTGCAAGTTACAAACATCGAGATACAGGACCCGTAAAAATGCTCTTGCGAGAGATATTCTAGATCCTGGACAGAGAACTTCACTATATATAGGACCCTGTGCAAACCTTGACAAGAGAGCCTATAAACAAAGATCCTGCCAATCTATCTGACTCTGGTCTTCACAAATGATGCGAAAATACGTTGCTCCTCCCGTGGATTCCTGGATGCTGCACAAAAATATTGCCAAGAAACCCTGCCCCCTCATCTTGCACAGCGATCCTGCAAAAGATCCTGCACAGATCCTCCCGTAGATGTTTCTCGCTGGTCCTTCGTAGAAAGAATCCTCTCAAGATGTCTCGCACAGACCCTCTCATGCAATCGCGCCAATAGCTCTTACCAAGAGACCTTGTCCAGAGATCATGCACACAGACTTTGCCGAGAGATCCCATTCAAGAGACCTTGCGCAGAGATAAAGGGCTCTTTCTACTCGTGGAGGGCCTTCTGAGGGATCCTGGGTATGAGTCTTGTTGGGAAGCCTGCCAAGGCTTCATGTTGAGGACTCTGACGAGAGAGCTTGTAGAGGGACCCTGGGAGATCCCACACAGATCTTTCCAAGAGATCCTATCAAAGTTCCCAGCCACACATCCTGCAAGGATCCTTCCACAGAGATCTTGCCCCGAATTTGTTGAATCTCTTTCAAAGGAATCCTGCGCGGAAGCTACTATTTTGATGAATATTTTGCAGGCTGTCTCTAGAAAAAGGGCCCGGTCACAGCCTTTGTTTCGGAAGCCGAGAGCCTCGCTCCAACAGGCCGTGGCTGAAATGAAGCGCCGCATCTGCGAGGCAGCGCCCGCACACTCGAACACGAGCACGTCGCCATCCTGGCCCGAAACCCGCGAAAGCCGAAACGCCTGTGTGTGTGTGTGTGTGCATTTTTTGCTCGACTGGCTTGCGCTTGGTTGCAGGCAACCACGCAGCCAGGCAGCCAAGCAATCAACCGCGCCGCCAAGCAGCCCAGCAACCAAGAAACCAAGCAGCCAAGAACCAAGCAACCAAGCGAGAAAGCAACCCCGCAACCCAGCAACCCAGCAACCCAGCAACCAAGCAACCAAGCAACCAAGCAACCAAGCAACCAAGCAACCAAGCAACCAAGCAGCCAAGCAACCAAGCAACCAAGCAACCAAGCACCCAAGCACCCAAGCACCCAAGCGACAAGGCAACGAGGAAAAGCCAGGCAACAAGCCAAGCAGCCAAGCAACCCAGCAACCAAGCAACCAAGCGCACAAGCGACGAGGCAACCAGGAAACCAGGCAACAAGCCAAGCAGCCAAGCAGCCAAGCAGCCAAGCAGCCAAGCAGCCAAGCAGCCAAGCAGCCAAGCAGCCAAGTAGCTAAGTAATTCAGCAACCCAGCAACCCAGCAACCCAGCAACCCAGCAACTCCAGCAACCAAGCAACCAAGCAACCAAGCAACCAAGCAACCAAGCAACCAACCAACCAACCAACCAGCCAACCAACCAACCAACCAGCCAGCCAACCAACCAACCAACCAACCATCCAGTTGCTGGCTTGGTTGCTTGGTTGCTTGGTTGCTGGGTTGCTTGCTTGCTAAGTTATTTAGCTTGCCTGCCTGCCTCGTGACAAGCACTTGAAAGCGTGTTGCCCCCCAAAACAGCACAGCTCAGCCATCATGGCCAGAAAACTCCAGGCTCCCTGCGCTGCAAACCAGCCCTCCTTGAGAGGCACAATGTCGTACCAGCTGCTGCCGGCAAAGGCCGGCAAATCCTCCTGCCGAACACACATTCCGGGAAGGCTTGGTCTCATGCTTCCACCACCCTGCGCTCTGCTCCGGGTGCGTCCTCCGCAAGGAGTTCCCAGAAGAGAGCACGCGGCACAGCCATGCGACATGGAAGCACTGCCCTCGTGCACCAGATTCTGCGAGTTTGCCCAGCAAAACTCGCAGGATGCAGCAATCAAGGACTCTATTTGCTGCTATGCTTGGGCTTTCCTCTGGGTCACTCTCAGCCAGTTTGAAGGCAGGTCTTGTTTTGTCAGCAGTTCGTGATTTTTTCGTCACCGCCTTAGGGCTCCGACTCTGCAAAGTGTCTTCTGCTCCATGGCAAACATGCGGGCACTCGCACTCAAAGCAAAAACATGCATACGTGATGACGTGCATGGCATGACACACAAATCATGATTGTCTACTTGATATGGGTCAGGGAACCTCCAAAATGGCGGCCTTCAGTTTCCCTTAAAAACCATCCTCACAAAACACACACCCATTTGTTGGCTCAAGCTCCCGCTTTGCTTCCAGTGCCTCTCCAGCCAATCTCCGACATCGCCTCCGCCAGCCCTTGCAGAGATGATGAAGAAATAGTCCGCGTCCTCCTTGACATCCTGAGTCAAAGCATGTTGGAGACCATGTCTATTTCAGGATCGATTGGTGCGAAGTCCTTCACTGCGGAACACGTCAACGTCTCCGCTGTGTCGCTTTTGCCATTTCGGGCTCCTAATTCAGACCCTCAATGGGAAACCCTTCGGGTTGGTTTGCTTTGGCCTTGGCGCAAGGAGGCGGAAATGGAGAGAGAATGTTGGAAGTTGAAGGTGGGGGGAAAGGCTAGAAACAAAGAACCAAACAAACAAACAAACAAACAAATTCAACAAACATCAACAATCAAACCAAGCAAACAAATACACAATCGAAAGGGGAGGAAAAAAGAACAAGGAGGCAAACAAGCAGACAAGCAAGCAAGCAAACCAGGAAAAAAATAGTCACACATTTGCGTGTGTGTGTGTGTGCACATAAAGTAATACGAAGACAAAGTATTCCCATCCTTTAGCCAGTTGTCCGTCACATGGGAAAGCATGGGGTGCTGGATCTCTGCCAACTTCCGAAGCCTTTCCCCAGCTGCGCGCGGCTCGGGCAGGCGGCCCTTGGCCGCAGCCTTGCACCTGGGCCCACAGTTCTCACGGCCCATGCACGAGTAAAGTTGAGGGATCCCCCCTGCCCACATCTGGTTCATCGCTGAGGGGTCCGAAAGAACAGGCACAATCAAACCTTGCAACAAAGGGTTACCAGCGGCCTGGAAGATCGTGCGACCGGATCCCTCAAAACTCAGGCGGTGAACACGCTCGCCAAAAAAACAAACACACACACACACACACACACACACGTCACATGCACGCGCCATGTGACAGCAATGCACGCGCCATGTGACAGCACAAGCTTCACTGAGGACATATGCGAAGCGTGAAAAAAAAGCGCACAACTTCACGTTTTGTGGTCATATGGGCCCCCCGGGATAGCCAGCGCGCATGGGGCTGGGGAGGAAGCGGCCCCTCATGCCCAAAAGCGCCGCGCAAGCCACTGAAAGCTTGGAGTGATCAGGGCTTTCATGCTTTCTTGACCGCTGAGCTCGTCGCGTTTTCAATGCGCCAGATCTGCGATCCTGACTGGCGGGTGAGAAACAAGCAGAATCCACTCTCAACTTTCTCCTTTCGCAGCTTCCATGACAAGAAACCCAACTGGTGCAGATTCAGGAGTGATCATAGCGTTTCCCATTGAATTTCCCAGAGCCTTCACGAATGGCAGACCGTGCCTTGAGGACCTGCAGAGCCCCAAAGGCCCAAAGGCCCAAGTCATGCTCGAAGGTGTAGTGTTGCTGCCTGGGATCCCAGCTGCACCCTTGAGTCAAAACAGGCCATTCCATTGCTGCTTGCGCCCATTTTGGTGGAACCCCTTTGACACACGGGCCCTGATTGCCCAGCTCTCGCATCTTGCGACGCCAAAGCTAAAGCAGCCAAGATACAGGACATAGCTGCGCACCCCCACAGCCAGTGTGTGATCGAGCCTTGGATTGAGCACATCAAGCCGGATAGTTCACCTTGTTAGATCCCAAAGGTGCAAAATTTAAGGCCACTGCATCTTCCTGGCTACACCCCTTTGGGTGCAGAAGCATGCACTCCAAGCAAGCCAACAGGTGAAGGCAAGACCAAGCTACATGACACATTATGCTGTTTAGCTTGTCAACATCACATATCCCGTGCCATTCTGCTGGATCATGATGTCACATGTTTTGCCTTGCAACCTTGGCATTTGCTGCGTGAATCTGGTGTCCCGCAGCTGCTGCGAGTGGCAGACACGAGCAAGTGCACAATCACGAGCATGCGCAATACCAAACGCAAGCACAGCCTAAGGGATCCTGCGAGGCACCTTTCACTTTTTCAAGGTTGTGCCGTAAGCCTCACAAAGTGTTGGAAACACATGCTGGACGCTGGGACACGCTGCCCGGTATTCCTGCCCAAATTGGGCATAAGAAGCAGCCCAGTATTGACTGAGACGTGGGGGCCCAAAGCCCCCATACTGGTTACTACCCAAAATAGTCCTCCACTCAAGTAGGTAGAATTTATTCGATCATAGGGTTTTGGCGCCCATTTAGCGTGCGATAGACCTCCACCTCCAACAGAATTGGACATAAGCTCCTGCCTCGTTGGTATGGTCTACCTCACTTGCTGGGTAGATTCTACCGCTAAGCAACCTGGAACGAAGGGCTTCCGTCATAAACACCTGTAGGCCAAACATGGTAGGGCCTCAGACAGTCGACCGCAGGGCAAAGCAAAGTGAACCTGTACAATCATTGCAGCTGTATGCATGGCGCACACTTCCCACATTCCCACTGAGAGAAGAGCACCCTACAGGAGCGGTCGAAAAGTGATGTTGCCGCAATAACAATAGAATGGACTTAATTCCCTGGTTGATGGAAACTTAGTGAGAGTCTATGCTCCCAAATCGGCTACAGGCTTCCAATGATTTTTGACATGGCCAAATGGCAGATCATGGCTTCGCCGATTAAATTCGCACCGCTTCGTGGCAATACATCCTGCAACTGGAAGGACAAGTATAAGCTCACAGTGTGCCGGTTCAGGCAAGCAAGGGGACTTCCGTCGATTCGTCTCGGCCAAATGCCTGAGGAGGCTGCTCAGGTGGATTTGTTCGCGGATGGTACTGTAATCCAAGGCCGAGCTTGTTAAACATGATGCAATGCTCATCACTGGCAGGGATCCACCTACACTCTTTGCAATGGAAACTGCAGCAAGGGTCCAAACGCAATTGGGGCGAAAAGAACTGAGGGGAGCTACGTCCATCAAACATTTTGGAGAGTCCTCCCTCCGGAATCGAAGCCAGCCTCATAAAAACATCTGTGCCATGGTCACAGACACATTGGCTGGCAAACCGCGAATGCATAGATGTCTAACCCTTGATTGGCAATCTTGTCAACTCTGTTCTGCAAAAAGAATACGGTCCCATTTTGTCAATTCTGCTCTGCTTCCTAATTGTCATGTTCACCCCTCCACTTGGCTGAAGCGCTTGACCTTTGAAGTGAAAACTGAGTTCGCAGAGATGCTCCGAGTTTTTCGACTGCCTCGGCCGAACGATCGCCAGTGTGCAACTGCAAGACAGTGCCTGTTTTCCTGGAACTTGCTTTCTATTCCACGAAGCCAGGAAGCTGAATCCAACATTGACCAGCTTTCGAGGCGGGCACTTCGCCAACTTCAGGGTTCAAGGATTGGCGCTAAGTGACCTGCACCTTTGCGATGCTAGGCAGCTCGCCGGAAGAGCGTCTTCACGGCAAACAGGGCCGCACCGAAACTCATCCACGGCCTCGCCGAGCTTGAGAAACTGCAGGCATCAGAACAGTTTATCACACCGGGGCACGCACGTGGACACATTTACGGGCAAGTTTCGGCATGTTGACTGACATGCGTGTTGCTGGCATGTCCATCAAGCCACAAAATAAGCTACGATTGCGGCGTGCTGGCCAGCCCTCTAAGACAAAGTGCCAAGCCCCACCCACGAATCCGTTCTGCCTAATGCTTTTGCAGAAGGCTGTGTCAATCGCACTCAATCAAGGTCCACATGCAAGCAGAGGTCCTGAACGTCACCTTTTTGCAACCATGCTGCCTGCCAATGGAGGTCCCCACCACCGCTGCTGAGCCAACCGCTGAAAGTCACGCAAAAGCCTGCGAGAACCTACGAGCCCGCAAAGCGCAACACACACAAGGCCGGACATCTCTGGCCGCTCCCAAGCTTTTAAGTCTCCCTGCCGTCAGGCTTAAAACAAACACAGCCGAGGGAGAAGCGAGCTGTCAATGTCACAGACACCACAACTGCCCGCCAAAACAACGATTGCCTCACAGCCCGCGGACTTATGTCCGTGCAGCTCGCGGGTCAAAACCTCTCGGTGGCGAGTGGCTCTGCCCTGTCAAAGATGGCCACGCTGGGGGCATGGGCCGGAGCTCACATCCCGAGAAGCGGCCCACTGATGGGCAAATGTTTGCAGCTCAATAGCTCCCACCAGTTGGGAGGGGCTAAGGGCTGAAGGAACTTCAGCGAAACCACATGTGCAAGCTTTGCTCTTCAGCAACGGGCGTTGCAGACAAGCGCTGGGACAACATGTGGTCCAGCGCTCTCTGCCGGTCTGCCCGGGAAGGAACTAATCAAATCACACATGCAAACAGAAAACAAAGTAGCGTAGAACCATGAAATGCAAAGCAAACATGACATAGTAGAACGGACAATCCCGGGAGTGCTGAGCAAAGGAGCACATGGATAAACGTAGATAAGCACACCGCCTGGAGAAGGCGGCAAAAAAAGAACATGATCCGGGCTGCCGGTCGATTCAAAAGCTTTCGACATCCTATGCCACGCCAACCTGCTCTACATGCAAGCGTATGTGGCCTCGAAGACAACTTATGGCGTTCTGCCCATCAGCACTGTTGCCTAGCTGGGTTGCCGATTCCAACCTCTCACCTTATGATGCGATAGCAACCTGTGCTAGAGAGGCTAGAACGTATTGGCCTCGAAGCCGGCCTGCTTGGCTTCTTTCGAGCGGTACGACGAGGTGTTACTTGAAAAATTGCATAGCCCATGGCCTGATGGATTCTTTAGGAGCACACAAAGGGAACCAAAGCGAAACTCCTGGAAGTTTTGGGAGCCGCAAGCTGGCAGTGGATTTTGGAGGCCACGTAGCAGACTCCCATCTGACCTCACGCCAGCTGGAGCGCGCGCTCATCGCAGGGCTGGCGTCCTCTGGAAAGCAGGGCCTTCAGCCGAATTCAACAAGGCCAAGAGGCTTCCACCTGTAAATGGGAACCCTGAACGGGGGCGTAAACAACAACATACCTCTTATCACAGTGGTAACCTTTTACCAGCAGCCTGTTCATCCCTTTTCATTTGAGGTTTCATTTGCTCTTGAGCGAGCAGCCTTGGGCTGGAGAGTGTCTTTTCGCTGTGGGAAAAGCTGTCCATCACCCAGCTACTTTGCACAATCGACTGACACGTTATGCTCTCACCAAAGGGCCCAAGCCACCAAGGCAAGCCAGGCAAGGCAATCCCCCAATCTCGCTTACCGTCCTTCGGCGCCAGTCGAACCTGTCAAGTGTTCGACATGCCTTCTTGCAAGGACATCGAACGATTTGCCAGGCAAACATGCAAATGCCTGTCATCCAATTGGCTCGGCATCAAACCAAGCGAAAACATCTGACTAGCTGCCTGATGCTGCAGCTGCTTGGTGACCCAGCTGCTTGTACTTGCCTTTCGCATGCATTTCACCTGCAGGTCGCATGCTCCCTTCGTGCCGCGCGCTTAAGACGAAACCAGAATGTAAGACTGGGAAAACAAGCTGTGCTCTGCCGACATATGCAGCGCAATAGCTTGCCGTTTCTGAGGTGCCAGCCCGTCCGGAAGACGCATGCTGGTGGAGGACCACCAGGTGGCTGTGGCACAGTGGCCACGGGGAACACCTCACTCTTGCAGTGTGCCTGAGGTGGCCTAGCAGCCTAGCTTTCACACACGCGCCGATGTGTATCACACGTGCACACGCATTAACACACACAGCGTGAAGCCGTTTCCTTGCCCGAAGCTGGAACCTGTGGGGGCTGTGACGTGGGCAGCGCAGCGCGGGGTGAACATACCTCAGCCGGCCCATATGGTCCCAAGCTTGCCTAAAGGTCACATGAAGGCAAGGCGCGACATCCCGCACAACCTTGGCAGTCAGGTTTGCAAGTTCCCGTCACACAATTCACAGCACGCATGGCACGCATCATGCGTGAAGCAGAGCCTGCTGTGGCAAAGGGCGTCGCGAAAGAAAACTGGCTTGCTCAAAACGGATTGCTCAAAACAACGGGGCCGATATGATATTCCTTTCTCGAAACAGAATTGAGGACTGGCCTTGGACAAGGGGACGTGGGCACGGGGGCACAAAGCACTTGGGCTCGGACACGCTTGAAGGTTGCCATCAATCCTTCTGGCTGGCGATGGTCTTGTCGGGGCTGGCTGCCGGAGCCTCGGTTTCCCACGCGCTGCCCAAACCCAATGTCTGGTTCTGGCTAATTCCCTTAGTTTTTGGAGCAGCAACAAGGCAACACTGAGAAACAAAAAACATGCGTGTCCAGTATGCCCGCGGCCACTGAAAGCAGGACAAGCTACAGTAAGGCAACTGGCCCTGCCGCACCTGCGCAGCAACCTGCAGCGTCCAACTTAGCCCGATGTTTACATGCGTGCCGACTGCGATTGCATGCGTTCAAAGCTTTCACCTGCCAATCGTAGAACAGTCGTCGGCCGATGGGCAAGACTTTGGAACCAGGTGGTACGGAATCCCAACATTGCCGTACTACACTGACAAAGAAGGAAGCTTTGGCAGAAACACTGTGACACAGCGCAGACGCAACACAAACACAAGTACAAAGACGCGCTGATGCCATTCCCCTGCAAGCAGCTCCGCGAGGAAAAGCTACGCGCGTGGAATCACAAAATGACTGACTCGATGGCTCGGAAACCCAAGCTTCAAATTGGCAAGAGCAAGAACACGAGGAACGACACAAAACACATGGCCGTTTGTGTTGAAATCATTCTGATGGTCTCGACACTATTGCGCGCAGCTCTCTCTCGCTCTCACTCTCTCTCTCTCTCTCTCTCCCGCTCCCTCTCTCTCTCTCTCCCTCTCTCTCTCTCTCTCTCTCTATTTCTCTGTCCGGTCGTCAGGGGCTTCGCACACGAACGCACACACATACACATTAAACACAAACAAAACTCACCCCAACCTACGCGAAACCCACACTCACCCAAAACCTAAACCAACCCCAAATCTAAGGCAAGTCCATATCCCAAACTCAATACAACCCTTACACCCGCCCACCCTGCCCTGCATCCAACCCGAAACATACCCTGTGACATACCGCTTCTCGCTGGGGTCAACTGTGCTGGAGTTGGCAAAACAATAAGATGCAGGCGTAGAGCCTAAGAGCTCCCGGGGGGTTTAGTGCAAGCCCCCAACCAGTCAGCAAGTTGACTTGCCGCCCTTTTCTCACTCCATGGCATGCTCGGGTGCCCCGAGCTAAAGTACAAAGACCAAATGGCTAAAGGGATCCCTCGGACCAAACGGCAATCAGCAGTGTGCAAGGTTGTGGCTCTGTAGGCAAAACACAAGAGGCTCACACCCTCGAGGCTGAGAACTTCACATGCCCCAAAGGCTGTTGCCGAAAGAGACTCATCCTAGCGGCTCACAAGCTCTCGCCATGAACGGTCCCGAAGTTCCGTTCCGTCTTCTTCTCCTTCGCCACGAGGAAAGGCTTGCTTCTTCTCCTTGGCACTGACGAACTTCTCGTCGTGCACCAGGTTCCACAACTGCCCAGCCTGGAGAGACTTCCGCGCTCTGTCCTGTGCGCTCAGCTTGGTCAGCCCATCCGCCAACTGGGCGTCGCTGTCGCACCATCGCATCTGCGTGTCCTGGCGGCCCATGATCTCCACCAGCCCAGATAGTTCGAGCGCAGTGTACTTCTCCCACATGCTGAAGGCAGATGTCTGAATCTCGCCGTTGCTGGCCGCGTCATACAATGCCTTTGCATCCACGACCAGCACCCCTTTTGTCTTCTTGGTGCACTCCTCCGGCTTGGCCAGGTCCACAGGGAACCCACTCATCTCGCTCCACTGAGTCCAGATGAACATCACCGGCAGACTATTTTGAGTCTCGTTGAGGACTAGCATGCTCGCATGACACATGCCGATCATGTAGCCTCCCGTCGATCCCAGGTCCACTCGGTTGGCAAGCCACCAGGTCGTCCTCCTTTTTCGCATTCAGATTGAAGATCCGCAGGGCGGTGTCCTTCTGTAGACCTCGCGGACAAGCTTGTTGATCTCGCCCAAGACGGTGCTATCTCCTCTAGGAAGCACACTCTGGAGGTGACTCAGCTTCGCTGCACGCTGCGGCCCGCTCTGATACACTCGCCATTGCGCTGCACCTAGTACAGCACGAGCCTGAGATCGTTCGTTCTCCGTGAGCTCCTTGCCCGTGCCATCTCGGGTGACTTGGGAAAGTCCCGAGCAGTACTCCTCCTGATCCAGCCGCCAGCCACCATCGGGTAGTTGCTGCAGTTGAACTCCGCAGTGCATCATCGGCGCTTCTTCCCACGGGCTCCATTTGAGTGCCGCGTGGAGCTGCTTCACCGCCTGATTCCATCGCTCATCGCTCTCGTCTCCGGTGATGAGGAACGTGAGCGGAAATCAGCCCGAGCACCCGCTGCTTTCCATCCTCCCGGTTCATGTCCGGCACCTTCAGACTCCACATGCACGGCTCCGTCTCCAGTCTGTTCAGACCCACCTCCGTCAAGATGGCGTCCACTTTCAAGAACCATTCTCGGGGTGCCACCGTGAGTCCGTAGGTGGCCTTGAGAACTGAACCGCACGCCCCTTCGGGAGATTCATTGCCGTGGCCTGCTCCTCCACCGGAAGTCCAAAGACTTGTCGCTGAAGTTGGGTCTCCCCACCTTGAAGGAAAGCAGCTCTGGGGTCTGCCTTGGTCACTCACCAACCTCGGTGCGCAGCCATCTGAAGTAGCAGGTGTCTGCTCCTCCGTGTCATCGTTGGGCTCTTCGTGTTGGGGTAACCGGCATTGGGGTCGGAGTAGCCGAGCACACTGTTCCATCTTCGGGTCCGTTCTTGAAGGTCAAAACCCATCTCATCTTCATCAGCCGACGTGCCGATCGCAGCCCGCACCACCTTGTTGCTCAACCACTCATTGATTTCGGCTCCTTCATCGCGGCTCTCTGCTCCAGTGACAGCCTCTGCCAGGACACCTCCACACCTTTTGCGACTTTCTTCGCCATGAACTTCTGAGGATCCTTGACGATGGCCTTCCACTCCGTCTCATCCTTGAGCTGCGGCAGGATCAGCGCGAACACGACGTTCTCAAGCTCCTGCAGCTCCAACACAAAGGCCAGGACATCACGCTCTGCCTCAGGCTGCTCCCTTATCACATGCTGCGGTCAGTCCTCCCGTTCATGTCGCCTTTTCGCACGCTGAAATAGCTCATTCCGCAACAGCCTTGCATGGGGTCCGGCAGACCTGATGATGAGGACCGTCCTCCGGTAGATGCAGGGATGGTATTCATCGGCAGGTAATCCGCATCGTCCACCAAGCGGCTGCCATCCGCATCTTTATCCTCTCCAAAGATCTCCCGGAAGAATTCTTCCTCCTCAGTCCTCCGTGAAGCTGGAGGCTTTCTCTCCTTTCTCGCAGGTTCTTCGGCTTGAGACTCATCGCCGCCGATCTCGCCACTCTTCCTTTTCCACCTTCTCGCACGCTCTCCATCGGCGAAGCCAAATCTCCTCCGCTTCTGTTTGGCTCCTCAGTCATCTGGCTTTTGTTCTCTGCGTAGAGCTCGATCTTGCAATCACCGGCCGTCTTCCGCGATGACCTTTTCACGTTCTGAGGCATGCCTGAGTTGAAGAACATGCACCCGCTTCAGTCTCCCTTGGCTGATGATCCAGGCCAGTTGATGTGGTTGCCGGATCTCTCCCGAGAAGGTCACCTTCGTCTCCAAAGCCAGGATCCTCGCTGGCCCACCTCGCAAGGCACAGTCGAGGAACATCAAGTCGAGCATGGCTTGATGCATCTGCAGGCTGTTGGAACCTCCTGTACAAGACCAAATCCCCGGGGTAGTATTTCACCACAGGTCTTGACTGTGAATTCCGAGCCCGCGAAATCTTGTCCTCCACCGTTGCCTTCCGGTAGCTGGTCTCGGCCTGCATTCTGATCTCCAATGTCCTCCGCATCCGTTCGTCCGAACTCACCGAAGACCACAAAGGTAGGTCCTGTCCATCGTGCTTCGCGTGGATCTCCTTCACTTGGGCGCAGATGTCTGATCATTCTGTCCTTCAGCACTCCAATGCCACGCTCCACCTGTCCGATCATGCCGTGGGACTCCGCGGGGATGAAGTCTCCTCGAACTTGCGGGTACCCAAAGTACTGAATCCATCTGCTCTGGAGATGGAGAGACTCCAGGATCTCCTCCGAGGTGGCATTCCGTCCCTCTGTCACCTTGTGCTTGAACAAGTAGACTACCACCGCAAAGGAGCTTGCCTCGTCCATCATGAACTGGAAGCGGTAGACTTCCTCTCCCACAGTGATCATGAGGTTGTCCGTCTGCACCACCTGCCACAGCTTGTTGGCAGTCTCTCGCGGCCGGTCGCTTTGCAGATGGCATGTGGGCTTCTTGGCAGTCTTCGCAGACCATGTTCTTGGCGATCACCAGCAGCTGTTGAGAAGCTCCTCGGTCCTGTAGCGTCCGCATCAAGGCTTGTCGGCTGGGATGACCAAGTAGTCGCATCAAGTCCTGACCCATCTTTGCCACTACCTTCACATTTCCCATGAATGTGGTTTCCCGCATTTCCTCTCCAACTTCCATACCCATTGTGAGGTTCCACGGATGATCCACGGCTTCTTGATGCCTCAAAGTACCGGCGTTCACGATGTCGCCGCTTCCAGAAATTCCGGATGCTCGCAAATCCCCAGCCCCAGATTTCCTTGGGCCACTCCTGCAGAACTTCTCCTCCCAGCTCAATCTGCTTCTCCACGAGAGAAATTCCACGGGCAGCTCGTCGCCGCGCCAGCGTAATCTTCTTATCGCTCTTCTCGCGGGATTCCGGAGTCAGCCGGTTCAAGGCCTGGATGGTGAAGGTTCCTGCGCACGGAAGAGACAACCACAGGATGTCCGGTCGCTCCTTCTCAATGAGCTGCTCCACCTGCGTGTAGCCTGCCCTCTTCATGATGTCGCAGTTGTTGAAGAGGCCGCACCGAATGATGGTACCACCAACAGATTCCACGGCCTGACCCAGGCCACTGTTCTCCTCGCAACGCGGCTCCATCACCTTCATGCCACCTTTGTTCTCGCCAATGCCCATCATGGACCAGGCTTCCTTGATTGCGTCGAGGTAGTGGCTGTGCTGCTCATTGACCATCTGCTTGTCCTCCTCTATCATGTTCACCATCACTTCGTGGTAGTTCGTGTCCGGTGTCTTGTCGACATCCTCAAAGTGCACTGAGGTCTCTTCCTCATCCTTCATCACGCCGAGCAGGCCCTCCGCCGTCTCCTCCGCCTTCCGGGCTTTGCGGCCCGGCATAGCTGACATCTCGTCCAGCTCCTTCTTCGACGGAATCTTCTTCTGCCGCACGATCGTTGCCTCATGC